CGATGCGTAAATCGAGTCGATTCTTTCTGCACTCGGCGTGCGACGGTTCCCGCGTGCTGCGCCAGTGTGTTGCCGCCGCCGCCGCCCGCCTTTTTTCAACCTGCTTGGCCATTTGTCGCCGGTTCGAATCTCGGCGCCGGCGGCTTTTTTTTCGGCGGCGCTTGATTTATCCCGCGACGACGCGGCTCGCGGCGCGAATACCTGAATACGGCGCTGCGGCGCCACCGCTTTCACTGCCCGGGAAGGAAGGGAGAGGGAGATGCACCCGTCTAGCCAGCCCCGGTTCGACTCCCGCCGCCGCCTAATATTTTTCTCCCCCTTTTTTAAGTTTTGTATGGTGTATGTTTACTACTGCGTGGCGCTCACACACGTGCCGGCTTTGTTCCGTTGCCAGTTTGTCCCGGTCCCGGGTTCAAACCTCCGCTATTTTATCTTTTTTTTCCCCCTCGAGGACAATGAGGCTGCGCGGCACGTCGCGCCGTGTTCGTTATTCGTCTAGGTCGCGGGTTCGCGCCCCGCTCGGTGCGCGGCGAGTTTCTTCTTTTCTCTCTCTCTCGCTCCTTTTTTATCCGTGAGTGACCCCGCGTGCTTGGTGTGCGTGTGTCGAGGTGGGACGTGACAGAGGGGGGCGCCTTGGCGCGGCCTGGCGTGCGTACGACGAGGCGGGGCTGCCCGTCGTAAGCCGTCTGTGCGCCCCGCCCCGCCCCGCCCTGGATGCCGGCCGGCCCGGGCGGCCCCCTAATGTATTCCCTTGCCCTTTCACCTGCGTGCCGGCCCGTGGCGGCCAGCTGGCCGAGGGTAAGGCGAAGACATTCCGGCGTTTTTGAGCCCCGCCGCCCCGCCGGCACAAGACCGGCGGAGGCGGCCGAAACTCTAGACGCGTTTTGAGCTCCAGAGTCGCTAAATGGGACTCGAGCCGAACGTGTGACCCCACCAATGGATCCCTCGTTTGGAGAGCAATCCATTGGTGGGGTCACACGTTCGGTTCGAGTCCCATTTAGCGACTCTGGAGCTCAAAACGCGTCTAGGGTTTTGTCCGCCTCCACCGGCCTTCTGGCCCACTGTGCGTCGCGGGCTTGCCGCGGGTGTCGCTGCTTGTCGATGCGCTGTCGAACGGCGCGGCGCTTTCTCGCTGGCAGTGTGTCGCGCAGGCCCAGCTCGCCCAGCTCCCGCACGCCCACTTTCATGGCGGGCAGGCCGTTCATGACTAGATGCATGAGACGTGTAAAGCGCGCTGCCGGGCCGCGGCCGGCCGAGGCCTCGAGCGCTGTCTCTCTCGCACTTCCGTCTGGGTGCGACAGAGAGATCCGCTCCACCACGTCGCGTCTACTGTGCCCACGTACGCCGGAACGTACGCACACGCGTGCATAGCGTGCGGGCCGACGCAGGGGGTCAACGAGGCTGTCTCTCTCGCACCGCCGCGCCACCGCACGGCACGCACAGTGGGCCAGAAGACCGGTGGAGGCGGCCAAAAGTGTGGACGCGTTTTGAGCTCCAGAGTCGGAAATGGGACTCGAACCGAGCGTGGACCCCACCAATGGATTGCTCTGCGAACGAGGGATCCATTGGTGGGGTCACACGTTCGGTCTGAGTCCCATTTAGCGACTCTGGAGCTCAAAACGCGTCCAGAGTTCTGGCCCACTGTGGCACGCCCGGCACGCCCGGCACGGCCCACGAGTGCGACAGAGACAGAGCGTTCCGGAAGCGCCGAGCCGGACGCGGACCTGCAGCGCGATAAATCCACTTTTGGCTGCTTTTTCCAGTGTGTGTCCATCCGTGCGGTTCGCTACAGTGCGGTTTCGCGTGGCCGATTCACCCTGGTGATAACTTGTCGCCTTGCATAAGGGGCAGACAGGTCGCGCACAGTGGGCCGGAAGACGAGACCAGCGCCGTTGGCCAAAACTCTAGACGCGTTTTGAGCTCTAGAGTCGCCGAACAGGACTCCAACCGAACGTGTGACCCCACCAATGGATTGCGCTTCGAACGAAGAATCCATTGGTGGGGTCACACGTTCGGTTCGAGTCCCCATTTACAGCGACTCCGGAGCTCAAAACGCGTCCAGACTTTTGTCCGCCTCCGCCGGTCCTCTGGCCCACTGTGTCGCGTCGGTGTGTGACTGGTGCCAAGGTCGCGGGTTCGACTCCGGGCCGCCGCCTTTTGGGCCTTTTGTGTCTCCTGGTGACGCCTGGCCCGAGGCGCGTGGCGCGGGCAGGCCGCGCATTACCGCTTTCAAGTGTTAATGAGTCGTTGGCTGCATTGGGAGTGGTGACGTCACTACACTGACGTGAGCTCGGCCAGGGGTCAGGCAAGCAGCAGCGGCACCTCGATATTAAAAAGTTAGATTTATTCCTTATTACGCAACTTTATTTCTTTTTTTTTTTCAAAATAACGCGTTGTTTTCCAGTCACTAGCGCGTTTTCGGCCTTGACAGGCGTGTTCTTTTTTTTGTCAGTGTGCGCGTGGAGTAGGGTGATGAGTTGCTTGTCAGCTCTGCTGGGTAGCGTAGCCTAGCGTGGCCGCGTAGCGCCCTGCCAGGTGGGTGTCAAGTATCAAACGTCAGCGCGCCGCCACCGCCGCGACACCGGGACTGTCTCTCTGCAGCCACGCGGGACGCGCCGTCAGTGCGAGAGAGACAGCGACCGCCTGCCTCACTTGGAGACAAGCTGGCACTTGATGTCATCCATCAAGAGCGAGAGAGAGGGAAGCTCTCCTTCCTTCTGCTTTTTGCTTCGAGTGTTGGCGAATTGCAGCCCGCACAGTGTGCCAGAAGAACGGAGGAGGCGGCCCAATCTCTTGACGCGTTTTGAGATCCAGATTCGCTAAATGGGGCTCGAACCAAGGCTCGAACCGATCGTGTGACCCCACCGATGGATTGCTCTCCGAACGAGGAATCCATTGGTGGGGTCACACGTTCGGTCCGAGGCCTGTTTAGCGACTCTGGAGCTCAAAACGCGTCTAGAGTTTTGGCGCCTCCACCGGTCTTCTGGCAAGTCCACTGTGTGTAGGTGCGACAGAGACAGCGCGGGCCGTCGATGGAAAGGGCGTCCACCTGCCTTGCCTTCCGCACGCAGGCTGCTTCCGTAGAGTCGTGGCTCCGTCTCTCTCGCACTCACGGGGCGTCCCGCACGGTCCCGCATGGGTGCGAGAGAGAGCGACGAAGTGCGGGAAATGCACCGAGATGCGCGGCCATCCCGATGGGCGCCAGAGAGAGTGGCAGAGAGGCTGCAGGCCGCTTCCGGACGCCGTCGCTCTGTCTCTCTCGCACCCACACGGAGCGCCGCAACGCGCCGTGCGTGCGAGAGAGACAGAGCGGCGATTCGGAATGGCTGGCTGTATATTGCGCAAGGCGAAGCAAGCCGAAGCCGAAGCAGCAGCCATCCTTATGGCATCCGTCAATGTTCCGGCCGGTGGCAGCCGTCGCGCTGTCTCTCTCGCACCCATGCGGGCCGCCACACGCCCCGCGAGCGCGCGCGCGAGAGAGAGAGAGAGGCACGCGAGGCTGGCGGCAAAAGGATCGGCGGAGCGCAATCAAGGAAAGGAAGAAAAAATTGCCTCGCGGGGCATTAGCAGTGGTGTGGCGCTGTGACGTCATCGAAGTCGTCGCGTCGCGCGGTCGGATGATCGCACCGGGGTTTTATGGACGACGAGAGCAACTGGGCCGAGAAGACTGGGTGAGGCGGCCAAACAGTAGACGCTTTTTGAGCTTCAAGTCGCTAAATGGGACTCGAACCGAACGTGTGACCCCACCAATGGATTGCTCTCCGGACCAGGAATCCATTGGTGGGGTCACACGCTCGGTGAGTGCGAGAGAGACAGAAGAGCGACGGCTGGGTGACGCCACGCCCCTCTGCTTTGCGGTGAAGGAGCTTTTGCCGTGCAAAGAGTGGAGTCGGCCCAGAGACTCGAGACTTCCAGGACGGTGACGTCACGCCTGAGTCACCACTACTACCGGTTGCTGTGCCCGCCGTGCCCGCCGTGCCCGCCGTCCCGGCATTCGGCTCACGCACACACTCGCAGTGTGTCAGTGTGTTTTGCAGTGCCCCGCTCGAAAACCGCCCAGAGTGGTTGAGTGTCGGTCCGTGCTCCTTCCTCCCGCCTGCTGCCGCCTGCAGACTGATTCGCGACATCGGTCCGTCTCTCTCGCGCCCAAGCGGGGCGCCCATGAGTGCGAGAGAGACAGAGCGACGAAAAGGACTGTGTACTGCTTACGAGCTCTTAGCATGGGTCTGTCGCGTCGTCTGCTTCGTGGTCGGCCCTTCCGCCGGCCTAGCCGCCCCGCCCCGGGGCCGGCGCACCTTTGAAGGCGCGGCGGTCCATGCCGCGGACCGCGATGGCGGGGGTGGCGGGGCGGGGCGGGGCGGGGTCGGCAGCGGGAGTGCGACTGACCTAGATGCTGGGCACGCCGCACGCTGGCGCTACCGGCAAGATCTCGGCAAGCTACCGGCTTGGGCCGCGGGGCCTGGCTATAGGCGGCCTGAGGCCCCATAAGGGGAAGGGGCAGCCTCCAGTCATGTAACAGTGTAGTGGGACGAGAGATGGATCGCCACTGCGGTGTGGTGTGTAATTGAAATGGGAATAAAATGTGGCGACTGTGCCAGTGTATCGGTCGAGGCTCTCTAGCCGCAGCACCGCAGGTTCACCTGTCCGCCTGTTCGCGCCTCGCGACAGCCATGCGTTGTCGTTTGGGTTTTGGATGTTGGGTTCTCTAAAATCCGGCCGCTGGAACCGGGCCCGTGGGGTCCTAGGGGTCCTTGGGTTCCTTGGGGTCCCCGTGGGTTCCTTGGGGTCCCCGTGGGTTCCTTGGGGTCCCCGTGGGTTCCTTGGGGTCCCCGTGGGTTCCTTGGGGTCCCCGTGGGTTCCTTGGGGTCCCCGTGGGTTCCTTGGGGTCCCCGTGGGTTCCTTGGGGTCCCCGTGGGTTCCTTGGGGTCCCCGTGGGTTCCTTGGGTATGAAAGCCCCGTGACGTGCTTTCTCTGACCGTCCGCTCTCCGTCTCGTTGCAGGCCTCCACCATCGATGGTCGGCGGAAGGGCGCGTGTCTGTTCTGCCAAGAGTACTTCATGGACCTGTACTTGCTGGCCGAGCTCAAGACAATCTGCCTCAAGGTCACGACCGTGGACATGCAGAAGCCTCCCCCAGACTTCAGGTACTTGTCTGCTTGTCATTTTCCGCCAGTGGGATTGGCTCAGTCGTGTTGTGGCAAGGGTCACGTGGTAATGCTTCCCTCCTTTTTTCACAGGACTAATTTTGAAGCAACCCCACCACCTATTCTTATTGATAACGGCCTGGCAGTACTTGAGAATGAAAAAATTGAACGACACATCATGAAGAACGTGCCAGGAGGACACAATCTTTTCGTTCAGGACAAGGAAGTTGCCACACTTATCGAGAATTTGTACAGTGTAAGTGGCGAGCATTTTTCCAAGAAAAAATCAAACAGTTGTCGCATGAACTTTCATTGTCTTTAATCCAGTCTTTTTTTACAGAAATTGAAATTGTTGCTCTTGAAGAAAGATGAGGTGTCCACCAACAACCTGATGTCTCACTTGCGCAAGATCAATGCACATTTGGAGCGCAACCACCAGCGCTTTCTCACAGGAGACACAATGTGTTGCTTCGACTGTGAGCTGATGCCCCGCCTCCAACACATCCGAGTCGCTGGGAAATACTTTTTGGATTTCAACATTCCTGTCGAAATGGCTGCACTTTGGCGCTACATGTACCACATGTACCAACTGGATGCCTTTACTCAGAGCTGCCCAGCAGACCAGGATATTATTAACCATTACAAGCTGCAGCAGGTGGGGGTCAGTTCAAACACAACTAACATTTTGCACTTCCGCTTACCCTGCTGCACCCTGGTACACACCTTGTATCAGAATAGTTTTAGTCGTTTTAATCATACTGAATTACGTCTTAAAGTGTTTTTTCGCAACTTAAAAGTCTTTTGTTGAAATGAATTGCTGTTTTGTCAGATAAATGTAAAAAAAAACAGATTTACAAGTGCTTTTTGTCTCTTGATGTGGGAAGTGGTTCGTGCTTTAAATTTGTTGTGTTTTGTTGTTGTTTTATTTTCATTTTTGCTTTCTCTGCTACTTCTTTCTTTTAAAAGGATCCTTTTAAACACTGTTTGTTTTATTGATTTCAGGGTATGAAAATGAAGAAACACGAGGAATTGGAAACTCCGACTTTCACAACATCCATTCCAGTGGGAGTATCAGTTGAAGACTAAGTGAACTCACCCCATTAGGTAGATTTGTCTTCAAACTTCCTTGGCCCCACACTCCTTTATCAGACTTATTTATTTGCCCCTCCAAAAATGTCTTCGTGTTATTTTGTGCGGATGTGTGGAAGACTGCTAGCCATAAAAATATTCTGGCAGCTTTTGATGTAAATGCCGCTTTACATAACTGAAAAATCATAATTTCCCAAAGTTTCTTCCTCTGAGGGACCAAAGGTTTATCTTAACCATACCCTAGTGCAAACTTTTTTTGTTGTTGTTAAAAAGTCATGTTTCGTGTTTGATGGTGTGTGGGGCGCTCTGCTCATAGCTTTCTTTTGCACATTTTTTTTAAAAATTGTAATGTAAGGAATTGTTTTTCACTCTCAGTCAGTGACATCATTTAAAGGAAATTGTGCTGAGGAAGGTTTATGCTAAAGAAACTTGTGATAGTTATCCAGACTGCACTCTTTTTTTTTCTGGTTGTTAATCAAGTACAGTATTTAACTTAACAAAACTGCATTTCATCCAGTTCCTCAGTCTTACAAGAATGCTTTGTCAAGACTTGAGTGATCAATTACATTCAATGATAAATTTGAACTTTGCATACTGGTTGTTTCAGTTAAGCAGCCTTTTGCTGCTTAGAAACAGCTGGGGTTTCTGTGCTATTTTCTTTGATCCTGCAAGGACCTTCAAGAAAGAGAGATCTTTGTTCCTTCCCCTAGAAAATATGAAACCGGATTCTAGTTTGGACAAGTATTTACACTTACTTTATTGTATTTTATTCTTATTTATATGAGGATTTGTATGTTACCACTCGGACTGAGGTGCTGAATGATAAGCAATGGCCTCTCAGCCTCTGAAACGTTGTATATTTTGCTACTAAACCTTGTACTAAGAATTATAAGTTAATATTGTACAATGTCAATTTGCTTACGAACCTGCAGTGCAGCATGAACTGAACCAACTGTGTCAAAATGTGCTTACTATTTTGTTTCAGCCAAAAGCCTGGCAATGTCTGTTGTATGCTGCTTTTATTAAGTTTTTGTTCAGTCATAACAAGCTGGGACCTGTTCATAGAAACTTTGGTAGAATGTACCAATTATATTTCTGCTCTAATCAACTGTTCGTACTACTATTCCTTCATGTACATTTGAAATCATTTTGAAGTTAAGTTCTACCAATTCATCATATTGCTTCTTTCCTATGAAGGAAAGAAGCTTGCCATCATAGCTTTGCAATAAACAACTGTACATAAGTGTACCACATTTTGATTGTGATGATTCTATTGTAAGAATATACTACTTAACGTGAAACTTATAATCCTCTTTATTGTTTGAAAGTACCCTATGCACAATAATGAGTTCATATTTAAATATTTATTCACACAAACCCACCAACAACAGGATGGGTACCACTACGTGATCACAGCATAATTAGCAATATTTTTGACTGATCAATTTTCATACCATTTCTTTCGGTCTGTTTCACTTGATGCTAATTGGGTTTTGTACTTATTCACTAGAATTGAGAAATTATCTTCTTCACGCATTTGTTTAGGCTTATTCATTTTTTGCTGAAACAAAAGCAATGTTGAATCAAATAAGGGGGAAAGTCTTGACATGCAACCCTAATTATCCACTTTTCTTTCCAAAAATCTTACCTTGGGTTGCTTTATTTTCACAGCTTCTAGTTGTTGCCGCTTGCGTTCTCTCTTGTTTTTAGCTTTCGTTGCCTCAGCTTGTTGTTCTACTTGGGCGCGCAGCTTCTTCCGGGACATAATACCTGACTGCCCCGGTTTTGAGGTTTCTCCCATAAAGTTGGATCTGAAAGAGATTAAAAATAATTAATTTGCAGTTCAAAAAGTGTCGAGTGAAATTAATTTACAGCCCTTCAAAGAAAATACATTACCCTTCAACATTATCTACTGTTGCTCCAGTTGTTTTCCTATTTCTTTTCTTATCATGAAAAGCTAGGAGTTTCAATTTCCTCTTCTCTTTCCTGGTTAATGGTTGAGATGAATTTGCAGCTGGAGATGTGTCAGTCTTACTGATTGTTGGTCTGTCTATCTTTCCTTTAAGCCCTTGGCTTTTCCCTCCAAATTGATTATTCTGATACTTTCCTTCCCTGCGCTGTTTCTCCCATTCTTTCTGGGAACCGCCATTGGTTTGGCTTCGCAAAAGACCGGCTTTGCTTTTTTCCAATCTCTTCTGACGAGTCTTCAATGCTGTTTTATCTTCAATGGAAAATGCCACAATAGGTCGCTGAATGATCAGAAACAAATGTCACAACAGAGTTCATTTCAACAGGGCACTAGACAACAGTAGCCTTAAAATGAGTACCTTGACAGGTGTGAAAGTGTTTGGATTGTTGTTCAGAGATCGAAGAGCGTGAAGAGCACTTTCATGGGTGGTAAATGTGACGAAACCAAACTCTTTGGACTTTCCTATTCCATTGGCATCAACATTTCTTAAATCTCTCATGACTCTTGCCTGCCAACAAATTCATGTTAATGACAATAAATATAACTTTACCAAAATGACAAGGAAGGAACTGGAACTTACCTCTGTAACAACAGCGTTTGGGCCTCCATGTTTTATCATGAGGGCTCTTAACTTAGCATCATCATAAGATGGAGGTAAATTTTGAACAACAAGTCGATATAGAGACACAAATTTATTTAAATTTCTGAGCATCTGTGTCTTCCACTGTTCTAGTTGAAGGCGTTTTGCCATGTCTGCCTGAGACACACCGGCAGCAGCAGGACTGCCGGCTAGAATAACTAAAAAAAGGAAAGCAAAGAATTGTTGATCCAAATGATCTAAATTATTTATAGACTATTGAATGTTGAAACTCACTTCCTTCCTTGACTAGGTAGAGATGACGACTATCCCTTTTAACATCTTTATCCTTGCCACCTTTTGAAAGGTCTTCTCTATTCTGTGCAGGTAGAGTTTCAACCACACTTCCATGAATGGAAATTTCACCTTCTCTTCCGGCTGCTATACAAGCATCAGCTGCATCTTTAGTCTAAAGTGAAAATAAATCAAAATAATCAAAAGGGGACCGATAATTTTACAAAGATTTTTCCAAGAAATGTTTACAAGTTGCATCAGCAAGACTCACTCTAAACTTGACAAAGCCGGTGCCTTTAGAATGTTCTGTCAAATGATCAACACAAATCAAGGCATAATAGATTAGACCAAATCTACGCATGGATTTCTTAAACTCCTCATTGTTAACTGAGAATGGAATATTCTTCACGAAAACAGTACAGCCCTCTGAAATATCATGCGACTCTCTTAACGGTTTTCTGGGGGTCCTGCAATTACATAAAGAAGACTAAGGCTCCCGAACAAGATTATCAATTCACAAAAGCATGGAGGGATTTACGTAACTTACAAGCCAAGATCCTTGTTTTGTTTATTTTGTTTTTTTCGCTTTTTAGAGCCTTTGTCTTCATCCATGTCACTATCATCTTCATCTGAACTTTCTTGACTGTCATCATCATCATCATCACTACCATCATCAACCTCATCGTCATCGCTACCATCATCAACCTCATTATCATCGCCATCATCACTATCACCATCATTGTCTTTTCCATCATCACTGTCACTCTCGTCCTCTTTCTTCATCTTATGCAACTTCTCGTCATTCTCTTCATGGAACCCTGATTCTTCTGAGTCATCTTCTGCAGGCTTTTGATTCTTATTTGCAAATTTAGCTTTTGGTATAGCCCAATCAACTACAACTGGCCTATCTGCAACACAAAAGTAAAATGAAGAACAGTTCAAAATATCCATACGTTCAATTCAACTCTCTCCATTAACTCACTTAGGAAAAGTTTTCCACTAGTGTGAGCAATTGCTTTGGCGGCACAGTTCTTTAATGAATATTCGACAAAACCACACCCAACTAAGCGCCCATCTGGCCTTCGGAGAAGCTTGATTTCTGCAATTTGACCGTACGGAGAAAAGTGTTCTCTTAGCTTGTCTTCTGTTGCCTGGAAACAAGGAATTGTCATTCATTAGCAAGTGGACGCACTATGTTCAAAAAGAGCGGCTTTCTTAAATCATTTACCTTAAATGAGACATTCCGCACAATAAGGCGAGCCCTTGGGTTCTTCTTAATTTCAGCCTCCTCCGGTTCCTCCTTGATTTCGTCTTCTGTTTTGATGTCCATTTCCTCATGCGATTCAAGTACTTCATCTTTCACTTTGCTGGTCACACCCTTTTTCTGTTTTTCTGAAAAACGAAAGGAGAAGTTGACACAACCACTACTCTGTTGAGGCTGTAGAGGCAGAATATACTTACTGCCCATGTTTCTGAAAAGTGGGGATCGTCAAAATTTAAAGGATGTTACAGGTACTTAAAAACTAGGTTATGAGCACCATGGATTGGTCTTTCGTAAGTCACAAAAGCACGATTTCGTCGATTCCAGGGGCACACCAACTTAAAATAGCAACATTACTAGAACAAAAAAGAAATATAAAGTACTTAAACTTAACAAAACTTTAGTTTTCTGAGTTTATGTCAAGAACGACATGCCACACATGTGTTCGGTTTGGTTTTGTTGTTTACTATATGAGAAATTGATGTTTTCTACTATACGCAGGGAAAAAGCAGAAGGTGTTCCGTCATGTTGCGGTGCGAATAAAGAGACGGAGAAAGGGAAAGGGAGGGGGTGTTTTCGGTTCGGCGTGTATGTGTACGTGCGTCCGAGGTGTTTATATTTGCGTATTCATCCATGAAACCGAAGGTTTGATGATGTCAGTAGTTTTGTCCACTTATCTCTTTAATCAAAAAATTGCATTCGCAAACGAACATACGCCTAATCGGGGCTTCAATCCATGCTTGCATCAAATGTTTCCCGCACACGATTCGTCCGTGGCTCTCAGGACAAAACGGTTTTATTTCGAATCGGAACCAATCTTTTAACCATTTGCCTCACTGATTGCAGCTTTGACAGCTCCGATGCTTTCAAAGCTATCTCCCGTCTTCGAAACGTTTGATCACAGGCGTTCCGCTCCCAGCTGTGTGGCAAAGTGCCATTGTTAAAACCTAGTAGATCTTTGCATCTATGGCTGACAGGTTCTGTTGATAATTCGAAATTGTTTCATGAATACCTCGTCGCAGTTCACGCGGCGATGACGTTGTTTCCTTTTTAAATATTTTCTTCAGCGTGACAAACTGGATCACTGTTGCTAAGCAGCTGCTCATCTATTATGTAATGCTACACATTTCCAACCACTAATTTTCTGCTGTTTACATATTTGTATTTCAAAATTTATCTCAGGCTGCAGTGCTTTTCTATTATTGCGACATAAGATTTTCTGTATTTGACAGCAACATGGTCCGTTCAGGACTTAATGCATAAATTTCAACACTTATCTCCTCTGTTTGTATACACCTGCATTCATTGTAACATATTTATTTCCCCCAGATCACAGCAACATTGGTGCGTTAGAGCAAGCGATCCCATAATGTCCGAATCAGCATCAGACCGAGCAGCACCTCAGGACGTGCTCGATGAGCTTTCCAATGCTTCCTCTCCTCCCGTGCCCCAGTTATCTTCTTCAACATCTAGTGAAGATGACAAGTAATTTAACAGCTCCTTCTTCAAATATATTCTAGTTTTCAAAATGATAAGGTGTTATTTAAAATACTAAAAGCCAATGTATTTACAGAAGGCAATGCTGGGTATGCCTGAATTCCGATGAAGATGAAGAAGATGCAGAAGAGCTTGCTGCGAATGGCCCTGCCGAGTGGGTGCAACCGTGTAAATGTAAAGGAACAGCAAAATGGGTAGGACCAAGTTTCTGCATTGTGTTGAGTGAAACTTTTATCTAAAAGCTCTGTTCAGAAGTGGAACTCTTAACTTTTTCTAGGTCCATCGAGCATGCCTCAACAGATTTATTGATGAAAAGCGAAAAGTTGATGACCGAGTTAAATGCCCTCAGTGTAAGACACGTTATATTATTTCAGCACCTAAAATGGGTACGTTATATTTTAAAGAATATGGTGAAATCTTTTTGGACAATGTTAAAAAAATTTAATGAGTTAATTTTGTTTACAGGTTATTTATATTCAATTTTAGATGAAGTTGACATGCAAGTGCACAGAATTTCTCCTATTGTTGTGGGGTTTATGTTAGCCAAAGCTGTCTACTGGTGTGCAGTTACTCATGGCGCAGTCACTGTGATGACGGTGAGACTGGAGGACTGTCTGGTCAGGATGTGAAATTGTGTCTTTATACTCTGAAAATTTTAAATGGGTTTGCTTTTGCAGGTCATGGGTTGCGATGAAGGCCTTAGTTTATTGGAATCATCATCACCTATACTTCTTTTGCTGGCCCTCCCAGCTATTCCAACAGCTCTTATTCTCAGCAAAATGATTTGCTGGGAGGATAGACTATGGCTTACAATGAGAAATCATTATGCTAAAATTCCATTTATGCGATACATTCTGCCCTCTTTTGCGTAAGTTCTTTTGTTGTTGTCATGCACTTTTTTGATCATTTCTTTTTGAAGTTACATGATTAATTTTCTAATAATATAACTTTTCTAGTCCCACTAGTCAAGGACCAATGGAACGGCTGCCTCCTCTATTCAGCAATGTGTGTGGAGAGCGCACTCTCAGTGGAGCACTCCTCATGCCTAGTATTGCAGCACTAGTTGGACGCTTGCTTTTTGATTCAGTTGAAAATAACCTCCACCGCACTCTCCTTGGAGGACTGACCTTTGTTGCTGTGAAAGGAGTATTAAAAATATATTTAAAACATCAGCGCTACATGCGTGTCTGCAGATCAGTTATCATGAATTATCCGAAGAGACCTGAGTCTCAGCAGAGTGATGGACCTGCTTGAAGTTACCTTGAAACTATGTGTTGAATCTCTGTGACCTGAATCAGATTATTCTTTTCCAATTATTCCTTTATAGAGCAAGATTGAAGGTTACGAATCTTCTTTCAAGAGTTAAAAAATTTGCAGTGTGGGTACTTTGTTTTTAGTCATAGTTACCATAAATCACGCTTGTCAAGTGCTGCATCTTGTGCCATGTACTGGTGAATCAATGAATATTTTCCTTAGTATATTTACAGAGGCCGTGTAAAGTATATTTATTTTTTATTATTACTTGTAGAATTCTCTTAAGTTTGTATGAGGCATCTCTGAGCTTCAGGTTTTCATTCTTCATGCTGTTTCAAGTGATTGGTTTGGTACTTTCTTTCTTTTTGTTTAATGTGGACAGGTTCCATTGAATGTCTTGTGAGTCTTCCTATTGATTTGACCTTTTTTTTTTCCTAATCAAAAATGATGTATTACATGGAAATAAATAAATAACTAGTTTCTGTATCATTTGTTGTGTCTGTTTTCCGTTTTTGGATTCCCCTCTAAGTCCCCAAGTCATGTATTCGAATATACGACTATGTGGTCGCCAAATCAATCAACGCGCAGCGCGATTTGTCATACTCTTTCCGATCAGATCTTTCTCAACACCAAACAAATATGGCGCTGGATACGATGGAGCCCAAGTTTGGCAGTGTTGTTGAAAACTTCAAAAATGAAAACGAGGGCTACAAGTGCGGTTACTGCAAATCTAAGACATCTAATTATAGCCATGGTAGGTGCATTTTTTGAACAAGATTAAATCAAATCCCTCGTTGGTTATCGTTACTGTCAAAGTCTAATCTAGTGCAAGACAGGGTTAGTTCTTGATTTTCTTGATACAGATGTTCAAACGTAGCCTGACAAGTGTTATGATTCAACTCAACATATGTTTCCCTGTTACAATTTTTGACAGTGTCAGCTGTACAACATTCTTTTTTCTGGATCAAGCTGTCAAAATTTGAGATGATGTTGCTCTTTCACACTTAGAAGCATATGTTTGAATTTTATGAGAATTTGAGGCTGTTGCTCTATTCCTTTCCTTTAGTCCTTCAATGAAATTGTTCTTTGAACCAACAATCACTTATTAATATGCCTCTGTTTACAGGAATGTGGGCACATCAAATCACAGTGCACGATTATCAAGATCTGATTGATCGAGGGTGGAGACGAAGCGGCTACTACTGCTATAAGCCAACAATGCAAAAAATATGCTGTCCAATGTACACAATCAAGTGAGTAGACCACTCTAACAATTTTGCTTCTTTATTCCCTTGGTTTGATCTCCTCTAAAAAGACTGATTTTCATGTTATATCAGATGCAATTCCGTTGACTTCAAGCTGTCAAAGTCTCAAAAAAAAGTTATTAAACGTATGAACCGTTTTTTATCGCATGGAGAAAGAGGTAAACAGAGAGCAATGGATGATTCAAACTCTTTAGACCCTCAAGGTATTGTAATTTGATTCTTCTTCAGTGGACTACTGGTCTGTTTTATACACTGTATTAAAATCATTCTCTTGAAATGTTCTGTTAGATGTGGAAGGAAATTCAGATTTGATGGAAGCCCAAATGACATCCCATTTTGCAACAGTTGATAGTAAAAAGTTTGCCAAGATCAAATCGTCCTTCCAAGAGCTAACTGGTTAGTACTTTGTAAGTATGAATGACACCTGTTCTGTGGGAAACTCAAATGAAGGAATTCAATGCTTCATTGTTTAAGGTTCTTCTTCTGATGAGAATAGAAGGCAAGACTTTGCAGCTCATGTTACAGAATGTTCAAATGTCATGTCAGAGAGCAAGACTGAAAAGAAAGGACCCTTTGTTAAAGACTCCTGTTCTACATCTTACAAGCCTGGTGAGGGTGGCTCTGCATGATTCCTCTCTCACCTCACTGTTAAAGTTTTGTTTATTTATTTTTATTTCCCTTCTACAGGTGCTGGGCCTGATAAAGAAAAGCCTCCTTGCAAAAAGGCCAAACTACTACGACTAGAACGAAGAAATCAAAAGCTAGCTAGTAAAGGTTTATCAGTAGACCCTTCTTCATCAGCCCCAAAACAAGAGAACTTTGCAAAAAAGCTAGAAGACTTTTTGTATCCAGAAATGACTCAAAGCCCAGCTCACAGACTGCAGGTAGAGTTTGTTCCTTAAGAAACAGCAGTGCTTCTTTTCTTTCACCATTCCCTTTCCTATTTCTGAATCTTAAATGAAGTTTTGTCATGACTAGAGTCTCGCATGCTTTCACCGTTGGTGTTTCAAATGTTCCCTTGGTCTATCCTGTGTGCATGGTGTTTTCTTGTGTAGTTTTCACAAATCTCTTTTGAAAAATTACTGTGTTAGTCTAACATGTATTTTTATTGCCCCCTTGGTGGTTGCAGCAGTTTGATTCCCCAATCACTGTACCTTTGGAATGTTTTGCCTCATCCTGATTTGTACAGGTCCGACTAGTGAGATCACAGCCAGCTAGTGCAGAATTCAAGAGCTCCTTTCAGGAGTCTTTGTGTGTTTACCGGCGTTATCAAATTGCCATTCATGGAGACCCTGAATCAAAATGCACTGAATCCCAGTACAAGAGATTCCTTGTCAAATCACCCCTTGAGGTAGAGAGAATGAATAATTTCGTTTTTGAGGACTCAATACTAATATCACGAAGTGCATTGTCGTCTTCACTAGCTTGGTTTGGAACATGTACCCTGACACTTGCTCTTTACCACTAACTTAATTTTTATCTAAAAAAAAAATTGTTTCAGTATTATTAAAATTTTCATAACTTTTTTAAAAAGCTGGTGGCTTGCGATTTTGCACAGGAAGCACAGGAGAGAACATCGAGGCAGTTACTTTTCTTATTTTAGTGAACCTTAAAATTCATACAATGTGTGGCATATTGCTTGTAGCTCAAGTTGGTGAGAGGGAACTCCGCGTCAGTAGAGCAGATGTGGCGGCTCTTCGTCAAGTACCAGAAGGCAATCCACAATGAGACTGACAAAGAGTGCGACCAGGAAACTTTCCAGGATTTCCTAGTGAAGACTCCGCTTAAGGTATGCGGTAGAACATACAGCTAAGCCACCTGCAATGTGCCACAGCATCTAGCCCTCTCCTGTGCTTTCATAACAAAATAATTGTCCTCATTTTTGCTTTAAAAATGTTTTTCATGTTCGAATTTGTTAACAGTTTTAAGCATGGTCTGCTCCTCCTTCTCTTTTGTAGGCCTGGCGTCCAGCTGACGGGTCTGGGCCCCCCCAAGGCTATGGGTCTTTCCACCAACAGTATTGGTTGGATGACAAGCTAGTTGCAGTTGGTGTTCTTGACATTCTGCCTCGATGTGTCTCTTCTGTGTATTTTTACTATGACCCTGAGTACTCTGATCTCACATTAGGAACATATGGATCCCTGCGGTATGTTTTAACATTCACTTTTTATTCATTTACTTATTACAGTACAATTCAATATATTTAATCTTTCTTTGTTTCATAGGGAAGTGGCTTTTGTCAGAACTTTACAATCTAATGCTCCAGAACTAAAGTGGTATTACATGGGCTTCTACATCCATTCCTGTCCCAAAATGCGTTACAAGGCAAGCCTTTCTCCATCCATGCTTCTCTGCCCAGAGACTTACACTTGGCATCCTATTGAACGTTGCTTGCCTTTGCTGGATAAGAACAAATATAGTCGTTTAGAGCCCAATCCTAGTGTTAAAGACATTGATGCCATAGAAAATGTAAATGAAGTAAGTATGTACAAGTTTCATCTGTGGAAAATTTCTTATCTTATCTCATTAACAAGCTGCAACAATGCTGTTCTAACACTAAACATGCAGTTTTGTAATTTTGATCTCCCTTTTGGTAGGTGGTTGTTTTTCATGATCTCCGTCCAATGTACTACGGGCAATATCGAGATTTAGCTGGGAGCTCGTCTGAAGATGAAGAGGTGCTTCATTATGCTCAGCTAGTAGGAAAGAATTGTGCCAAGAAGATGTTATTGTTGAGGTAAATTTGCTCACCTGTAACATCTCCACCATTTTCCATCAGGGAAGCAATCTTGTCAAAGTTGTGAATTTTTACCCTTTGTCATAAGCTTGGCTCCACTGACTGGTCGTGATTATTTTGGTATTAACATCTTTCGTTTTAAGTTTGTCATAGATTGCACTAATTGTGAATTTGGATTGACTCTTTATGTTTTTTACATAACACCTCAGCTCTTTTGCTGAGATTGTTTATTAAGCTTTCATTTTAAATGCGCCAAGTATTAGGGTGCATTAGTGATCATTTTCTGTCACCCTGTATTAAGATCTGTCTGCCTGACATACTCTTTGTGATATATACAGGGAGAAGAACATGGGGCCACCCCCAGTTCCTAAAGAAAGACATTTGTTTGCTTGAGGTTTTCATCCCAATTTCAATTTATAGTATTTTACCCTATGTTTGTCTTTGGTTAGTCTCATTACTTTTTGCGGTTTTGCCTCTCCTGCGTTTTGTGGTGGTTTCCACTCGATTTTGAAGTGCATACCTTTTTATTTATGATGGGTACCTTTAGCAAACTTACACAGTTGTTAAACAGTGTTGAAACTAGTCAAGCTTTCTTTGGATGTACAGTATCATTTGATACTCTCCATCATTGAGATAAGCAACGTTGTAGTTGCTTTTATTATGCTAATAGCATTTGCAATTTTGATGTTTTTTTTTTTTAAATCTTTCCCGATTTCTTCGGTATGCTAATTGTTACAAATATCTCAGATATTAAAATGGTAAATCTATTAGCATTTCTACTCAAAGGCTCTTTTATTTAATGAAACAATTCACTTCATCATCATACATTATTTCACTACACCATCGTTTTGGAATGAAAGTCTTACAAAATGTTTTGAATATCACTTTAAAACACTTAAGTCTCATTCTGAAGATCGTACAGCATCTGACAGTTTGAAGTCATGTATCCGAATAGCCCTGACCTCTGGCATCTGACCTGTGTCTTCTTCCTCATTTATAACACCTGCACAAAAAAAAAGTCTTGTTACTTCACAAAGTTAAAACATGCCCCTGCAAAAGATAAATTGCATTGTTTCTGTACTCACTTCGGTTGACTTTGTTTATCAGATCGTAAAAGGTTGAATCCTTGTCTCTCAGCAGAGCTTCTCTAAGATGCTTTACATAGACAGAATTTTCAGATCCCTTTTTCTCAAGAGCTTTTCTATTCTGTGAAGTTGAGTAGCATCTAAACAATGTACAGTCCCACGTTTGTTTACTTTCAATTTTGGGAAAGTTATCGCTGAAAAAGTTTTAGGAGACATTAATTGACTGATTGTTTTTCTTCCATTGCACTTTTTTTTACTGTGGGAGTGGCCTTACCAATTTGCAGAATTTTGACACATATCTAAAATAGAAGCAAACATTAAAGGTTGATATTTCTGTACAGCATCTATTACAGAATCTTCTGAAACAACATATTTAATGAAGTTTTGAGGAGAAAAATCTGCATCAGAGCCAATCATATACAACACACGGTTTTCCATCATGCCATGCCCACCAAAGTAGAACAAAACTGAAAAAAAAAAACAACAAAAAAACAAGGTTATTAGAAAATTTAATAAATCATGTTTGATTGTTTCAATGGCTCTTCTTACCAAAGGCATCCTTTTGTAGAGTGGCAAAAAACTTTTCAACCACTTTTTCAATTTGGTTTGCTGGAAGGTCCTGCTCAAGAGTACAATGAAAATCATACTTTTCAAGACATTCTTTCAGTGCCTTGGCATCATTGTGAGGAGTATGAAGTCTATTGTCTTTATAATCTTCAATACTAATAAGGAGTGCTTTCTTCTCTGATGGGTTTGGTCTTCTTGCTTTAACTTTTATGTCAAATTTCTGACTATTTTCTCCAAATCTATTTTTTACTCTGAGTTCATATGTGCCCTTGCAATCTTTATCGACATGAGGAATCCTTAAGACATTTGACTTAAATCCCTCTAATGGCTTAGCATTGTGCCACCAACTGAAAGTTGGTTGTGGTCCAGCTGATACTTTGGCACTTAGTTTGAGTTCTTCTCCACATTCTAACTCATCTGCAGAACAATCGAAGGATAGAATTTGAGGGACTTCTTGTCCTTCATCAATTAGTTTTACAGTTATATCTTCGGATGTAACTGTATTCGTCCAACCATAATCCATCCGCTGGTGGACAGTACAATAATACACTCCTTCTTCTTCACTGCCAACATAACAAATACCATACATATTTTAACTTTCAAATGTGCAATCACAACTTCATTACCTGATGTAGCAAATAAAAACAAACCTGAATGCAGGAATAATGTACTCTTGTTCAGAACACACAGGTATGTTCTCACAGTACCATTGAAATGTTGGCTTTGGACATCCGTCAGCTTCTATTTTTAGATGTAGTCTCTCTCCTGCTTTCACTTGCAGAACTCCATTTTTGCCCCAGAAACATCCATCAGTTTCCTCACAGTATGGTTGTCTCACAATCCGCAACATTTCTGAAAAAAAAGAGGAAAAAATTAAGTGGGTTGTCACTACCAATGGATTCAATGACCCCACTAGTCGGTTGTAACAGTGAAACAAACCTGGTTTACAGAGCACTTTTGCAGCCTCTTCCAGTTTCAGGACATCCAGGACATATTGCAAATGTCCAACTGTGATATGCCTATCGATCAGACTGGTCACAAAATCGTAGGCTGTTGGCCTGCTACAATAAACAAGAGATAATGTAACAAAAAAAAAAATTCTGTGTGGACTTTTTTCCAAAAAATATCTTATTTAGCTTACTCTTTTAGATCCATTCCAGTATTAATGTCAAACTGCCCAGCAACTCTTCTCCATGCGTCATTCTCTTTCAATTCAGAGGCCAACCGCACCACTTGTGACATGCTCAAGTCCTTTACTAACATTTTTCTTTTTCTTAGTTTGAAATTGACGGTGAACACTTGTTAGCTTCTTTGAACGAGGGCTCTCTACTACAAGAGATCATAACCTCAAGCTTGTCTGCAACAAGTTCATTCCTTCGCCCTTGGCATGATAACTTTGATGCAAAGCGTTCCAGCCCACCTTACGGTCAGTGCCAGCTATTTATCTGAGATTTGAAAACCTTGAGCACTCTCTAACTGCGAGTTATTTTAATCTCTGGTGGGAAATAATGTACACAACATCACGAAGATAATGGGGACGGGGAATAACAGACAGCAGCCGACGCAGCCTAGCCTACGTCAGAGAGAGGGGGGGGGGGGGGTCGATAGCGCCCCAACGCCACTGTGAATACGCTGGCGGGGCGCTATTGGAAGAACGCAAAGGCGTTCCGTGCGTCTTTTCCTGTATTCCCCTCAGCGAACAGTGCACTGCAGTGGCCGCACCTTGTGGAGCCACATCCCACAGTGAACGCACAGCGCCTGCCACGGCCAGGCTAGGCCAGCCCGCACCACAGCCGTGCGTTACGGGCGGGTCCATTTTACCATTACCACTAAGGGCTAGACCAACCATTACCATTAAGGGCTAGACCAACCTACCCTTACAGGCTTGACCACAACTGATCGTATGCCATGACCCGACCCTCCCGCCAATTGCCAGCCCCCACACTGTTTTTTTTTATTTTGTGGATCGCCGGATCGCCCTCTGTCCACTGGGTGCCTTTCACGTGTCTACTTTTGATTCGCCTCTCAGTAACTGCTCCTATTTAAGCCAAGGCCAAATTTAATGATATTTTTGCTTCGCAAAAAGCAAAAGAAGTCTTTCCCTTAAATTGGCCGCTCATGTGGAAAATGACGTCAAAATCGGGGAAATTGTGTTGGAATGAAACAAGCCGCAATCGAGCAAAAACAATCAGGCCGCACAGTGGGCCAGAAGACCGGTGGAGGCGGCCAAAACTCTACACGCGTTTTGAGCTCCAGAGTAGCGAAATGGGACTCAGGAGCTCAAAACGCGTGTAGAGTTTTGGCCGCCTCCACCGGTCTTCTGGCCCACTGTGAGCCGCGTCGAGCCGAATCATGTTCATGTCGTCGCGCGAATCATGCGTGTACAATGATTGGGCGCGAAAGAAGAGAGAAAAACATGCCGCTGTTGGCGACGGCCCACACGTGAGGCAGTCCATCCACACGCACTTCAAGGCGATCGAGAGAGACATGACGACGCCTCGGCCGGCTCGACAGTTCCAAGCGCGAGTACTTCTTTTTTTTTGTTTGTTTCGTCGCCCAGAAATAAGCGATACAAAGTCCCGGCGTGCCATCATCACACGCCCAGCCTCACGTGTACACGTGTGGATCTCGCGGCGCCGGCCGCTCTTGGCGGCACAATCAAAAGCGTCTACGCACTCGAAAAAAAGGCTGACGACTCTCTGCGAACTCGGGAGCCTCCAGCCAGTGCCCAGGGTGGGCCCTGAGCGAGGGGCAGAGTAGCACTTTTTGCCCACTTGCGGGGCCAGAGTGTGGCTTTTTGCCCACTTGCAGGGCCAAAGTGTGGCTTTTTGCCCACTTGCAGGGCCAAAGTGTGGCTTTTTGCCCACTTGCAGGGCCAGAGTGTGGCTTTTTGCCCACTTGCAGGGCCAGAGTGTGGCTTTTTGCCCACTTGCAGGGCCAAAGTGTGGCTTTTTGCCCACTTGCAGGGCCAAAGTGTGGCTTTTTGCCCACTTGCAGGGCCAGAGTGTGGCTTTTGGCCCACTTTCAGGGCCAAAGTGTGGCTTTTTGCCTGCTTTCAGGCAGGAGGCCAGGGCGGGGCGGAGGTCAACTGCCATTTTTGCTCCCCACTGGATCCGTACCTGGAAGCCTGTGTGTAGCCGCGCCTGTTTCCAAGTCATGGTTCGATACATCGTTATTTGGTTGAATATGATTTCCTACCATCGAAAACATCGAAAGAGAGCCGCTTCGACGTGGAACTTGAATTCGGACCTGCTGACGCACTTCGGACGTCAAACACCGTAATTTTATTCATCTTTCGACGCCTACGATCATGACCTTTTTGTGACAATCAATGCGACTTCTGGCCGACTCCACCTTATTTTTGTCCGTTCGGCTCTCAACTCTAGCGAAATTGTGTGATTTAGACGGATTTAGAACAACGCGGCGACCGGTTTTAGTGTTATGGCTGCCAGGGGTCGGATCTGTGCACCACTCCACGCCGAAGAGAGTGTACTGACAACACTGTTGCTGACTAATTGAGGGTTGGGCACGTCGGCACGCAAAGTCGCGGGTTCGACCCTACCCCATCCCCACTCCGAGCGACGACTTTTCGGCCGCTCTACTTCCTCTTATTGAGACCGTTTCAAAGCGAGCAAATGAACTCGACTAGCCCGGGGTCCAGGCCGGCCAAGGCAAAGACACAGGGACGTCTTCGCGTCATCCGCGCCTTTGGCGGCCTTTGGCGGCCTTTGGCCCGTGTTCGGCGTCTTTGGCCGCCCTGGTTGCACGCCAGCACGCACGCAACGGCGCCTCGGCTCCGCCCGGCGTTCGCCAAAACGGACGCCCCGGGCCGCATGCACGCCACTCGCGCCAGCTCCGCGGCCTGCTTCACTCGGCCACACCGAACACCTCCCCGATGGCGACGCTCCGCACGCTCGTCCGGGTCCTGGTCGTCCTGGCCGCGGTGGCGGCCTCCGGCGCCTTCCTGCGCCGGCCGCGCGGCCTCAAGCACACCAAGCCCGAGTTCTGGATGGATTCGGTAAGCGGCGCCACTGGTGCCACCGACTGAACCGCGTGCCCGAGTGCACTGCACCGCACAGTGGGCCAGCAGACCGGCGCAGGCGGCCAAAACTCTCGGCGCGCTTTGAGCTCTAGAGTCACTAAGAAAGAAGGACTCGAACCGAATGTGTGACCCCACCAATGAATTCCTCGTTCGGAGAGCAATCCATTGGTGGGGTCACACATTCGGTTCGAGTCCCATTTAGCGACTGTGGAGCTCAAAACGCGTCTATAGTTTTGGCCGCCTCCACCGGCTTCTGGCCCACTGTGCACCGGTCTTCTGGCCCGCTGTACACCAGGTGCATCCCAGCCCCGACGCGGCCGGCCCACTGTAAGCGTCCTTGTGGTGTAGGTGCAGCTGGCCAGACTGCAGGGCTACGCGATGGACATGCACCGATTCTTCACCTCTGACGGGTACGAGGTGGCGCTCCACCACATCGTGGCCAGCAAGAACGGCACCCTGGGGGGCGTCCCCGTGCTGCTGGGCCACGGGCTGGCGTCGTGCGACGAGCAGTGGCTGGCCAGGGGGGCCACCGCCCTCGGTGAGTCAAAACAATGTCACTACACTGGCAGCATGGCGCCGTACCACTTTGTTTTGCCAGTGTACTGTCTTTGTCGGCGTGTCGTTGGCCGGATCCTCATCCATCACCGCACCCTGTGCTGGCTGACGCACAGTGGGCCAGAAGACCGGTGGAGGTGGACAAAACTAGACGCGTTTTGAGCTCCAGAGTCGCTAAAGGGGCCTCGAACCGAACGTGTGAGCCCACCAATGGATTGCTCTCCGAACGAGGAATCCATTGGTGGGGTCACACGTTCGGTTTGAGTCTTGTTTAGCGACCCTGGAGCTCAAAACGCGTCTGGAGTTTTGTCCGCCTCCACCGGTCCTCTGGCCCACTGTGTGACGTGTCACACCACCTTCTCGTTGCAGTCTACATGCTGGTGGAACTGGGCTTCGACGTGTGGACGGTCAACTACCGCGGCAGCTTCTACAGTCGGGGCCACAAGACACTCACCAGCAGGCACCACGACTACTGGGACTTTAGGTTTGTGGAATCCCGCGAAACCGGAGTTTATGCGCCTCTCAGTTTGCAGTACTTTAGTTATTTCCATTATTTTTTTTGCGTTATACACACCGTAAGTTTTTCGATCAAAATGTCTTTTGTAGAAATTTCAAAGCCAAATTTAAAAAAATAGTTGCACATTTTTTATGAGCATTGGTGTCATTGCAACTTTTTCCACTGTTTTCAAACAGTGCAACTTTGTACTGCACGCAGTCACAGACAGTGGCATTTGCAACTGAAATGACAGTGGATGCAACGTTGTTAGGCTCGCGTGAAAGTTTGGTCTGGCTACCGGCGGGGCCTGAGGCGAGGCCTGGCCTGAAGCACGGGTCGCCTGGCGAACTCCGGCGAAGTCCTCAATCAACGAATAACGATGGTGCGCACAGTGGGCCAGAAGCCCGGTGGAGGCGGCCAAAACTCAAGACGCGCTTTGAGCTCCAGAGTCGCTAAAGAGGACTCGAAGCAAACGTGTGACCCCACCAATGGATCCCTCGTTCGCAGAGCAATCCATTGGTGGGGTCACACGTTCGCTTCGAGTCCCATTTAGCGACTCGAGCTCAAAACGCGTCCGGGACTTTGGCCGATCTTGAGGCAAGTGTTGTCCGCAGCTGGCACGAGAACGGCGTGGTCGACCAGGCGGAGGCCATCGACTACGTGCTGCAGGCGACGGGCCGCCAGAAGCTGGTGGTGATCGGCCACTCCATGAGCAGCACGGCCCAGGTGGTGCTGCTGGCGGAGCGCCCCGAGTACAACGACAAGGTCATGGGGCAGGTGCTGCTGGCGCCGCCCGTCAACTTCGAGCACTCCACCGGCGCCCTGGCCTACGCCGGCAAGGTCCTCCTCAACCTCCCCGGCATGAAGGTGAGGCGCGGCGGCGCACAGTGGGTTTGACAAAAGGCCGGTGGAGGCGGCCACAATTCTAGACGCGTTTTGAGCTCCAGAGTCGCTAAATTCGACTCAAGGGACGGAGCGACGTCGAGGTGGGACGTCGCGCGCGTTGCGACCTTCCCGGCCGCGGCGCCGCGGCCCGGACGCGCTGTTTATGTTCGACAAGAAAATAAAAAGGACAGTGTAATTCCGGCTTCCCACACCACACCGCCACGCGGCCGCTCCTACACTGTCGTCCGACCGGCCGCGCACGAAAACGAAAATCGGGGAACCAGTGTCGGCGACGCGCGCGTGTGTGTCGGAGTCCTGTACTCGTAACGAGTAGCAGCTGGGGCCAGGGCGGGGCGCGGCAGGGCCAAGGCCGTCACCTTGAACTTGGGCAGCGCGACACGACGTCAGAGGACGTCATGTCAGTGGAGGCGCGTCCGGATGCTAGCGGGGACGATGAACTTATTTGCGTCTCGGGATGCAGCCCCCCCCCCCCCCCACACACACACACACAGTGGGCGAGAAGACCGGTGGAGGCAGCCAAGACTCTAAACGCGTTTTGAGCTCCAGAGTCGCTAAATGGGACTCGAACCGAACGTGTGACCTCACCAATGGATTGCTCTCCGCTCGAGGAATCCATTGGTGGGGTCACACGTTCGGTTCGAGTCCCACTTAGCGACTCTGGAGCTCAAAACGCGTCCGGAGGTTTGGCCACCTCCACCGGTCGTCTGGCCCACTGTGCCCCACCTCTATTCCCTCCCCTTCCACCCCTTCCCTCCCCATGGCATTCCCTGTATCCCTGTGCGTCAACGCAACGATGACTTGCCAGGAACCATTTTCGATTCATGTTGTTGTCTCGCGCAAAATGCCAAAAAAACGAATACGTTTATTTTGGTTTTGTTTGCTTTATCATAAGTGGCTGGGTGGAGCCGACTCTAGACCAGCCAGCCACTCCGCTATTCGCATTGAGTTTTGGAATTTGGTGTCCGTCTTCAGGAGAGCGGCACCGAGAACGTGCAGAACGATGTCTTCAGCGGCTTCGAGAAACCGTTCCCCCAGTCGTGCTACCCCGACCACAGTGGCGTGAACCCCAAGCTGTTCCCCTTCTGCCAGCGCCTCATCGAGTTCGTCCTCGGCAAGGTGCACGAGCCCGTGGACCCCGTGAGTGTCTCGCTCGGAAAAGCTTGGAGCTGCACAGTGGGCCAGAAGACCGGAGGAGGCGGACAAAACACTAGACGCGTTTTGAGCTCCAGAGTCGCTAAATGGGAGTCGAACTGAGCGTGTGACCCCACCAACGGATTGCTCTCCGAACGAGGAATCCATTGGTGGGGTCACACGCTCGGTTCGAGGCCTGTTTAGCGACTCTGGAGCTCAAAACGCGTCAAGGGTTTTGGCCGCCTTCACCGGTCTTCTGGCTCACTGCGAGCTGGGTGCTGACGCTGCCTGTTTTTGTCGCAGTACCAGATGCAGATGATTCTGCACCACTACCCTGCCGGGTCCTCCATCCGGCAGATTCGGCACTTCTCGCAGTGCATCGCCGCCGGTGAGTCCAACTTGGTCCAATCCGTGAAAATCGAGCTGGTTACCGCTTCGTCGTTTTTACCGATTAAGAAACTACCTTGCTTTTTTTTTTTTCAGGAAAGTTCATGCAGTACGACTACGGCAAGGCCAGGAACCAGGCCTTGTACGGCCAGGACCTGCCGCCGGAGTACAACCTGACCAACATCAGGACCCCGACGTACCTCATGTACGCGCTGGGGGACGGCAGCGTCAACTGGAAGGTGAGCTAACCTGACCTAACCTAACCTGAGAACATGTTGCGGACAAGGCTGACACCCCTTAATTCTTTGCGCAGGACGTGGAGATTTTCGGCAAACTCCTGAGCCCCGGGGTTCTGAGGAAACTCCACCGACTGCCGCCGAAGGACTACTGCCACGTCGACTTCCTGATCGCCCGCGACGCCGTGGAGCTCGTCTACGTCCCCGTCATCAAGTACCTCGAGGAGCTGAGGAGCGGGGCCAGCTGAACCCTTGTCGGTGGAGGCGGCCAAGACGCGTTTTGAGCTCCAGAGTCGCTAAATGGGACTCGAACCAAACGTGTGACCCCACCAATGGATTGCTCTCCGAACGAGGAATCCATTGGTGGGGTCACACCTGCGGTTCGAGTCCCATTTAGCGACTCTGGAGCGCAAAACGCGTCTAGAGTTTTGGCCGCCTGCACCGGTCTTCTGGCAAATCCACTGTGTGCTGCTGATTGCAACATGTTGTTGCCGTTTTAATGTGAAACTCTCGTCAGGGCGTGGGGGAATGTGAGTGCTAGTCCCATGCCCTTCTTTTTTACCAAAGATGTATTTATTAGGAATGAATTAAAGATGCTGTTATGATACCTATCCAACTGGTTGTGATTTGCCTCCGCGGTGGCAGCTCTCTTTAATTTTTTCGGCCGGGGGGGGGGAGGGGAGAGGGGGTGTCTTAGACTTATAAAAAACTTAAAGAGGAGCAAAAAAATAAATATAATAAAAAAATAATCGAAATTTTGAACAGAAATTTTGAATTTTATGATTAAGAAGATGGAGCAGATGCGGTTCGCATGGCATGAGTCAAGGCATGAGCCGTTACAGTGGAGGCACTGACTCCGAACTCCGAGAACCGGCGTTCCCTTTCCAAGACCATGCGGCTCATCGTCACGTGGATACAGATGGGCAGGCAGACAAACGGCCGGCGGTTTTGTTGTTGATCCGCCAATCCATTCTTGATGACCAACGTAGTCGGTCAGGAAATTTGGTAGTGGACCGGTTTTTGGTTTGGATTCGCTGACGTTGTCGTCGACGGTGATCGCCCCCTCCCCATTCTTTCTGTTCCTGCCGGGTTTGAATCGGCGTGGCTCAGACGCACACGGCCTGAGCACGGCCTGGGGACTGGGCCCGCACTTGGTCGTCGCGCAGTGTCCGCGACACATGGTCCGTCATTGCCGGCGCCTCGAAAAGCACGCTGAGAGCGTCAGGCACGCAATCGCACTCCGGAGCCCGCTTCGCTCGCGCCGCTCCCACAAGTCCGAGACTGGTCGACATGGCGGCACTCCTCAAGCTTCTGGTCGTCGCGTCCGCGCTGGCGGCCGCCAGTGCGTTCCTGCGCAGGCCCAAGACCCTCAAGGTCACCAAGGGGGAGTTGTGGGAGAGCTCGGTAAGCGCTGGGCGGACGCGGATCCCGGGGAAGCCGCGCGTTTTGCGCTCCAGAGTCGCTAAATGGGACTCGAACCGGCCGTGTGACCCCACCAATGGATTGCTCTCCGAACGAGGAATCCATTGGTGGGGTCACTCGCCCGGTTCGAGTCCCATTTAGCGACTCGGGAGCGCAAAACGCGTCGAGAGTTTTTGCCGCCGGCGCCGGCCTTGCGGCTTTGCAAATCCACTGTAGGCGTCCTCCCAGGCTTTCTTCCACCCCAACCCCAACCTTGTCGTGCAGGTGCAGCTGGCCCGGCGGTGGGGCTACCAGGCGGAGCAGCATAGGTTCTTCACTTCTGACAACTACGAAGTGATCCTCCACCACATCGTGGCCAGTAGGAACGGCACCCGTGGGGGCGTCCCCGTGCTGCTGGGCCACGGCATGGTCTCCTCCGACGAGCAGTGGTACATCCGGGGGCCGATCGGACCCAGTAGGTGCACGCCGTCACGCCGTGGCGGCGAATAGTCCGGCGCACACGCGTCTTTTATGCTCTTTCACTCGCATTTTCAAACTCCTTTTTGTGGTGCGTTCTCGTTTCAGTCTTCTTGATAGCTGAGCAGGGCTACGACGTGTGGACGGTCAACTACCGCGGTAGCTTCTACAGTCGGAGGCACAGAACGTTGAATACCAAGGACCACGAATTCTGGGACTTCAGGTGAGTGGAAGGAGTGGTAAGACAAGACACACTGTAAATGTTGTACAGTGAAGATTATCCATATTATGGTGGTGCAGCTGACTTCGTAACATACCATTCAGAATTCACTGTACCATATAGAGATTTTGGCGAATTTCGTTGGTATTATGGGGAAAATCTCCACCATATTATGTTGGTGCAGCCTTTCACCGTAAGACATTTACTGTGCACCGAGTTTTCCAATTCGAAAACAAAAACAATTGTGCGGGAAATGAAGGCTTCGCTTGTTGGCAGCTGGCACGAGAACGGGGTGATCGACCAGGCGGAGGCCATCGACTACGTGCTGAACGCGACGGGCTACAAGCAGCTCATCGTGGTGGGCCACTCCATGAGCAGCACGGCCCAGGTGGTGCTGCTGGCGGAGCGCCCCGAGTACAACGACAAGGTCATGGGGCAGGTGCTGATGTGTCCGACGGTCCTCTTCGGGCACCCCACCGGCGCCGTGGCCTGGGGCCTGGGCCGCCTCAACGACGTCTCGTTCCAGAAGGTGAGTCGCGGACACCGTGGAGTAGCCAGAAGACCGCAGAAGACCGGCGAGGCGGCCGAAACTCTAGACGCGTTTTGGGCTCCAGAGTCGCTAAACAGCCCTCGAACCGAACGTGTGACCCCACCAATGGATTCCTCGTTCGAAGAGCAATCCATTGGTGGGGTCACGCGTTCGGTTCGAGTCCCATTTAGCGACTCCGGAGCTCAAAACACGTCTATAGTTCTGGCCGCCTCCACCGGTCTTCTGTACAGAGTGGAGTGTTGACTCCAACAACAGCTGTCTAGTCCAGACCTTCCGCACGGTTTCCTTCCCTCAATGAGTTTCCCCATGTGTGATTGTGTGTCCAGCTGGACTACCACGACAGCCTAGAGAATGACTGGGTCCCCGGGCTGGCCCACCCCGTGCCGGAGACCTGCTACATCAACTCCGGCAGCCCCAAAGCGATCTTGATGCCGCACTGCTTGCGTATCTTCGACTTCATCATGGGCAAAATCCACCGTCCCGTCAACGACGTAAGTGGCTTGTCGTCCCCGCGATGCACCAGAAGGGTTGCCAGCCTCATCCCGCCTGCCAGGCAACTTCTCGAGAGCGACGCCCAGATATTGCCTACAGCGTTACAAAAATCCCTACTTTTGTACAGAAAATGTACAGACGAATATAGTACGGAAGTACGGAAAAAAGTACGGAACGTCCGTACTCGTCCCTCAAGAACTCATGTACGGGTACGGAAAAATAGTACAGAAGTGCCATAATAGGTCAGGTGCGGATGGTCCAGGCAAATTATTGACCAGACATGTTCCGTACTTTTTCTGTACTTTTTCCCTCGCAGTGTAGTAGGCAGGCTGAGGTTGGCAACCCTGTCGACACTGGTGCAAATTGGGAACTTGTGTGGCAGCACTGCTATACCCCTCTTCCCGTGAGATTCGGCTATTCCTCTCTCTCGCACTCTCGGGAAATCCTTTCCTTCCTTGTCATTTGGCCTACCAAACTCTCGGTGGGACGACAGTCAGCGACGTTTTGCTCTTCCCGCAGTACCTCCTGTACCTCATCCTGCACCACTACCCCGCCGGCGCGTCCATCAAGCAGATGGTGCACTACATCCAGAGCAGCTACTCGGGTGAGTCAAAGTTAAACATAAAACATCAAAATTCGCTCAAATTTGCTAAAACATTTCTGAATTATTTTTTTTGCATGAAGTGCGCAGCTTTTTATGGAGGCATTGGCTTTTCTTCTGTTTTCAGGTAACTTCTCGCTTTTTGACTACGGCAAGGACAGGAACCAGGAGCTGTATGGCCAGGACATCCCGCCACTTTACAACCTGACGAACATCCGGACCCCCACGTACTTCGTGTACGGGTCGGCGGACGCCACCGTCAACTGGAAGGTGAGTGGGCTGGCCCTGACCTAACCTAACTTTACCTTACCCAACCTAACCTAACCTAACCTAACCTTACCTTACCCAACCTAACCTAACCTAACCTTACCTTACCCAACCTGACCTAACCTAACCTAACCTGACCTAACCTAAGATAGCTGGCGCCCTTCGCCTGAAATCTGTCCGCTTTTTACAGGATGTGAAAATTCTCGCGGATCGCATGAACCTCGGAGTCGTGAAGAAACTCCACCTGGTAGTCGACTACAACCACATCGACTACCTGATCGCCACTGACGCGGACAAGGTCATCTACCCCGCTTTGCTCAAGTACCTGGACGAAATCAGGGACGGGTCCTACTCCAAGGAACTCGAAAGGCCCAAAGTGACGACATTCTAATACGATATTTTCGTCAATATTTCGACGAAAAAGAAGCATCAATTTGACGTCATTTTCACTTCCTTTGACTGCTTCGTGAGTGCTTTGTTTTCTTTGGGACGAAAGCTGAATCTATTTGTGGCCGATTGTAAGATGAGACATGTTTAAAGATCTGCTCATGCCTCGTCATCATTTTGATAAAGTGAATGCACTCATCAATCTCTGAACCAAAGATGTATTTATAAGGAATAAATCAAAGTTTATTTATGCCCATCCAACGATTTATGATTGACAACCTGTCCCCATTCACACTGTCAATACGTCCGTGAACTGAAAATTTCTTTGTTCCGAGCAAACGGAAACAGAAACAAAGCGAGGATTAGAGACACGTTTTCTTGAAAATCACCCAAGACATCATTTTATGAACGGCAATGAAAACAGAAGTTTGAGACTCAGAAATTGTGATCATTGCTGCTTTGAACGAGGTCTCAAGGATTTTTCTCTGTATTTTTAAATGAATATGAAGCAAATTACATTTCCTTCACTAGTAAATTTCGAACCAGTGTCATTATTTTTACATATTCAGAGCAAGGTTAGCTCTTTGGTCGAGCCAGCCGAAGTTGCCATGATTCCACCCCCTCCCCCCTCGTTGCGTGGTGGAGTGGCCTGCTGCCGGCACCCCTGGGCCCGCCCCTGGGCCCGCCGCGCCTTCTTCACTCACTGTTCCCAGGACACACAGTGGGCCAGAAGACCAGTGGAGGCGGCCAAAACTCCAGACGCGTTTTGAGCTCCAGAGTCGCTAAACAGGCCTCGAACCGGGCGTGTGACCCCACCAATGGATTCCTCGTTCGGAGAGCAATCCATCGGTGGGGTCACACACGTTCGATTCGAGTCTCATTTAGTGACTCTGGAGCTTGAACCGCGTCTAGAGTTTTGGCCGCCTCCACTGGTCTTCTGGCCCACTGTGGGACACCGTGTTATGTAAGGATGCGCGATCGGCCGTCCGGTACCTTATTGTGACTTGAGTATTGTGTCTTCTATGTGATAAAGGCATACTCTGCCGAAAAAGTTGGCTTATCAGCAGAAATTTTGGTTGAAGGAACACAGCCGCTAAAACCTACGTGGCGGCGCTGCGCTGGCGGGGTCCGTCTCAGCGGTGCGAGCTGAGGCACTGGCCAGGCTGGGCCAGGCACTGGCCCAACAGACTCACTCCGAGAGTCGTTTTCGTCGCTGTGTCTCTCTCGCACTCACGGCGCGTCCCGTACAGGTGCGGGAGAGACAGAACGAGTCTGCAGGCCGCCAGACAGCAGCCCGACCGGGCACCATTGGGCGCGACTAGTGGGCCGGGCCCGCCACTCGAAGCAGAATCATCGCCTTGTCTTCCTTGTCGCACTCACGGAAGCGCGGCCGGCGCGCGCCCACCAATCGGCTGGCCGCGAATCGCTAAGCAGACGCAAGCAGACGCCCCGGGCTGCAGACCCGCCACTCGCGCCAGCTCCGCGGCCTGCTTCACTCGGCCACACTCACAGCGAACACCTCCCCGATGGCGACGCTCCGCACGCTCGTCCGGGTCCTGGTCGTCCTGGCCGCGGTGGCGGCCACCGGCGCCTTCCTGCGCCGGCCGCGCGGCCTCAAGCACACCAAGCCCGAGTTCTGGATGGATTCGGTAAGCGGCGCTAGGACTAAGAGCACTCCCCACTGTGTTCTAGTTGCGGGCGCCGCACAGTGGGCCAGAAGACCGGTGGGGGCGGCAAAAACTCCAGACGCGTTTTCAGCCCCAGAGTCGCTAAATAGGGCTCGAACCGAACGTGTGACCCCAGCAATGGATTCCTCGTTCGGAGAGCAATCCATTGGTGGGGTCACACGGCCGGTCCCATTTAGCAACTCTGGAGCTCAAAACGCGTCTAGAGTTTTGTCCGCCTCCACCGGTCTTCTGGCCCACTGTGCGCTGGTTGGCTCTGGCTCGACACTGTATGAAAAACGTGGGGCTTGGGGTGAGTGAGCGCCTGAGCGGCCAGCGCCTGCCACGGCGCGGGTGGGCCACCAGGCACGGCACCGCGCGCTGCGGGCCAGCCTACCTCGGCCTCCGCGGGCGTTCCGGCCAAGCGTCTGGCTGAAAGCGGCGCAGAGTGGACTTGCCAGAAGACCGGCGGAGGCGGCAAAAACTCTAGACGCGTTTTGAGCTCGAGTCGCTAAATGGGACTCGAACCGAACGTGTGACCCCACCAATGGATTCCTCGTTCGGAAAGCAATCCATTGGTGGGGTCACACGTTCGATCCGAGTCCCATTTAGCGACTCTACACTGTTAAAAATAGTCGTAAATTTACGACATTTTGTAGAACAATTATGTCGTTTTAAAACGACATATTTTGTTACGACTCAAATCGTAAATAAACGACTTGAGTCGTAAATTTACGACATATTTGTCGCTAATTTTGATAGCGAGACGTTCCGTTTTGAAACGAATTACGTCGTAAATTTACAACTTATCGTTAGTTTACGAACGGTCGTAATTTATCTATTGAGTATGTCGTGCAGTTATGACTTCAGTCGTACATTTACGAATCTTGTCGAAATTTTTTTAAAGAATCGTAAATGAACGACACAAATCGTAAATAAGCGAGCAAAATTGCAACTTTTCATCAACTTTTCGGGAATTTCAGATTTCAAAATATGTAATCGCGATTACGACATTGTCGTAGAGAAATGATTATTTTGTCGTTCAGTTACGACCAAGTAGTTTCAGAACGATTCTTGTCGCTATCAAAATTAGCGACGTTTTTGTCGCTAATTTACGACAAAGTTTCTTACAGCGTAGAGCTCAGAACGCGTCTGCAGTTTTGGCCGCCTGCGCCGGTCTTCCGTCCCACTGTGCGGAGGCAGCCAAAGGCGGCCAAAGGACTCGAACCGAACGAGTGACCCCACCAATGAATTGCTTTCCGTAGGAGGAATCCATTGGTCGGGTCGCACGTTCGGTTTAGCGACTCTAGAGCTCAAAACGACACTACGATTTCGGCTGCGCTAGCCCCAAAACCCTTTCGCAGTCAAAAGTGTGTTTTTGATGTGTTCATGGTGTGTTTTCGTTGCAGCTTATATGTTGGCTGAACATGGCTATGACGTCTGGACTCTAAACTACCGAGGCAGCTTCTACTGTCGGAAGCACAAAACGCTGACCACCAAGGACCACGATTTCTGGGACTTCAGGTGAGTAGAAGGGGTGGCGGCAGGAGAACTTTACAATTGTTTTATTTGGTCGGGTCAATGAATGTTGCAATCTCGTTCACTGTCAGTGCTGCCAAAAGTTCCCTCTGAGCACCAGTATCGAGAGGGTTGCCAACCGAGGGGACAACCACTTTAGAAATCATGTATCCCCTTGAGCGCTAGGATTCTCTGGAAATCTGAAATCTTGCCCCCCCCCCCAAAGAATGCCAAAAACTAGCAAATTTTGGGCGTAATATCAGTTAAAATCTTGCGAAATCCGACGAAATCGCTGTCGAGAGGTCGCCTAGTGGGTGAGGCCCAGTAAGCCAGAAGACCGGTGGAAGCGGACAAAACTCTTGACGCGTTTTGAGCTCCAGAGTCGCTATATGGGACCCCAACCGATCGTGTGACCCCACCATTGGATTGCTCTCCGGACGATGACTCCATTGGTGGGGTCACACGTTCAGTTCGAGTCCCATTTAGCGAGTCTGGAGCTCAAAACGCGTCTAGAGTTTTGACCACCTCCACCGGCCTTCTGGCCCACTGTGTGAGGTTGGCAACCCTTTGAGTGCATCGTGGGGAATTTTAGCCTACTTATGTGGCAACACTGCTGGTCCGCCTAGTGGGTGAGGTTGGCAACCCTTGGGGTGCATCGTGGGGAATTTCGGCCCACTTATGTGGCAACACTGTCCGCAGCTGGCACGAGAACGGCGTGATCGACCAGGCCGAGAGCATCGACTACATCCTCAAGGTGACGGGCAAGAAGAAGGTGATCGCGCTCGGCCACTCCATGAGCAGCAGCGCGTTGACGGTGCTGCTGGCGGAGCGGCCCGAGTACAACGACAAGGTCATGGGGCAGGTGCTGCTGGCGTCGCCCGCCTACTACGAGCACCCCACCGGCATCATGGCCTACCTCAGCCACTTCATCAAGATCATCCCCGGCGCGGAGGTGAGTGCGACACTGTCTGTGCCTGGTGACGCCAGCGCGCGCCAACGCCACACAGTGGGCCAGAAGACCGCTGGAGGCAGCCAAAACTCTAGACGCGTTTTGAGCTCCAGAGTCGCTGAATGGGACTCGAACCGAACGAGTGACCCCACCGATGGATTCCTCGTTCGGAGAGCAATCCATTGGTGGGGTCACACGTCCGGTTCGAGTCCAATTTAGCGACCCTGGAGGCCAAAACGCATCTGGATTTTTGGCCGCCTCCACCGGTCTTCTGGCCCACTGTGAGCCAGAGTGCGAGGCAACTTTACAACAGTCGCAAGTTGTTTTGTGCGCCGTTTTGGGAGGGGCGGGGAAGGGATTGCCTAGGAAATCAAAAGAGGAACCGGTTGGTGTTGTGCTTTTGTTGGCATTCCCAGTGGGTGCCCAGTGGCCGTCTATATCGATAACGCGAACCCAGTCCCGCCCAGCAGCCTCGGATCAATTGGCGCCTCGCTTCTTGTTCCTGATTGGCTCTTCCTGACTTTGCTTGAGTTGCTGGTAATGTTCCGGCCAGGGCGCGCCAGGGCGGGCCTGTCAGGAACTCGGAACAGTGCCTGGCGTCACAGGCGAGCAGAACAGGATGTAGCTTGGGCCGAAGTGCTACCCGTTCTCTGATAAAAATTGTATTCAATCGGTTGTGTGGTGGTGCCGGATTCTAGCGTCACGGAAAAAGTAATTTTCTCGACAAATAGAGTGCGCCAAAGACCATTGGGCACCGGGCATCTGTTTCTTAGACCCATGAGAAAGTTCCCTACGAATTGCAGACAAATAGGAGGTGGTCGACCATATTCGTCGAAAAAAATGCTATCGGATTTTTACCGTTTTGGGTCAAACCTCCACCCAAATTCGAGTATGTTGTGCTGGGGCACTCCCTCGTGGCTCCTAACACTATTTTGAGGGCCATTTGGGCCCTAAACAGTCTCTTTCTGGCGAAAAACTGGAACCATTTGAGCCTGCCCCAGTCCCAAAAAACCATGGATTGCATGGGATCCCATGACACAAATCCCATGACAGCGCACTGAAATCCCATGAGAATGCGGTTCAGCACCATGGACAAGCGGCATGCCATGCAAAATGGAGGTCGTTTCCCATGGTGCAGGCCTAGCACCATGGGAGGACCTTACCCATGATGTGAACTTTTCCATGGGTTCGGACTTCCCATGGGAAGGCAGTCCTGCTCGTGCGTTGAAGTCTCCGCTTAATTTTCAATTATAGGTCATATCATGTCAACGGTGCCCTCCAGACAAAATATGATTGCAAAATCGGATGGAGCGTCAAAAGTTTAGGGGGAGACAGTTCAATTGTGAAATGATTAAATCCACAGCAGGTGCTGATCTCATCATTTTTGTACTCACAAGGGACTCTGCCAAGGCAAGGAAGTGCTTCCCATGACTCACAGTCCATGGTACCTTTCCCCATGAGTCGCAAGACACCATGAGAAGTTGTTCCAAAAATCACGGGGAATCGTTCCCGTGGAAAGAATCGGCCCATGGCATCCCATGCACCGCCATGGCTCATGGGATGCCCCATGGTTTTTTTGGACTGGGGCGCCGGACGGGTAGGCAACCCATCGTGCACGGCCTGATCACCGCGAAACGGGCCGTCTCTCTGGCTCAGGTTTTTCATTGCCACAACTTGCTCATGTTGTTCGACTGTGTTACTTTTGTCCAGGTGGGTTCCTCCGCCAATGTGGAGAACGATTTGTTCGTCGGCTTCGACAAGCCCTACCCCCAGTCCTGCTACGTCCACTACAAACCCAAGATGCTGCCGTTCTGCAGACGTCTCATCGAGTTCATCATGGGCCCGTTCCACGAGCCCGTCGACGACGTGAGTGCACAGAGGGCCAGAAGACAGGTGGAGGCGGCCAAAACTCTAGACGTGTTTCGAGCTCCAGAGTCGCCAAACAGACCTCGAACCGAACGTATGACCCCACCATTGAATTCCTCGTGCGGAGAGCAATCCATTGGTGGGGTCACACGTTCGGTTCGAGTCCCATTTAGCGACTCTGGAGCCCAAAACGCGTCTAGAGTTTTGGCCGCCCCCACCGGTCTTTTGGCTCACTGTGGAGTGTAGTCGCAGCGCGGCGGAGCGGAAGTGGGATCAGTGGTGCCAACTGCCCCGACTGTTGCAGGAGCTGCTGCAGCTGACCATGCACCACTACCCCGCCGGATCCTCCATCAGGCAGATGCAGCACTACGCGCAGTGTATGAACTCGAGTAAGGCTTCAATCGATCAACCAACCAATCACTGGCGTTGGGTCCCGAGGGAACCACTTCCAGCCAGGGAAATTCCTTTCACACCAAACGATTTTGTTGACACATGTCATCCCTTCCCCTGTTTTCAGAGAGGTTCGCGCAGTACGACTACGGCAAGGACAGGAACCGGGACTTGTACGGCCAGGACCTGCCGCCGTTGTACAACCTGACCAACATCAGGACCCCCACTTACGTGGTGTACGCGCTGGGGGACGGCAATGTCAACTGGAGGGTGAGTTTCCTGGCTCAAGGCAACCTAACCTAACCTAACCTAACGAGTCTGACGCCCTTGCAACCGCCAACCCCATTCCAGGACGCGATAACTTTCGCCAAGAACCTTGCCCCCGGGGTCTTGAAGAAACTTTACAGGGTGCCACCAAAGGACTTCTGCCACATCGACTACCTGATCGCCCGAGACGCCAAAGAGCTTATCTACGACCCTGTCATCAACTTCGTCGACGAAATCAAAGCAAACGATGCGAACCGTGACTGAATCCTGTGACTGTAAATTAAGAAAAAAGCAGCAATATTTGTTTTAGGATACTGTAAAAGTCTCGTGATGGTGACCCCACAATGGGTCGGTCGGCCGATCAGAGGTGTTTGCCACGCTGAGAGAGAATGGGATTCGAATCTCAAGTCAAACAACTCTTTCCACAGCCAGATTGTTGATATATCTGAAACCCGGTACCATCACTCAAAAGTTGATCGCAACTCTTCGGAGTGGTTGGGTGGGAACTCTTTTGCATCCGAGTGTGAGCTAGCTCTTGTACACATAGAGGGACGCGCCATCTATTAAGACGGGATTACCTTCATTTTCGCTCGGCAACATCTGACAATAACGTAACGATTTTCCGTAACGTAAGGTTTCCATCACGTGTGTTCTTACGGGAGCACCCACAGTCGTCTTATTTTATTTACGATTTCTTATCTTACGGCGGAGGCTCTTACTTATTTTTCGTCCGTGTCCGAATATCCGAACAGCATGGAAAGAGAGGAGGATTTCCGTAAAATAAGGTGTCCTTACGTTATTTCGGGCGCGCTTGATTCGAATTCGACCAATGGGAGCAAGCAAGGGATAGATTTTGAGAAACAAACATTGGTCCGCGAAAAAGGGAAAGATAAAGAAGAGAAAGACGTCCTCCGCATCGTCGTCTGAGTTTGTTTTTATTTTCGTGCTAGGTTATGTTGACCTGCACACTAACGTAAAATAGACTTTGAGGATAAAAGCTCTATTTCGAAAACCTTATTTTACGGAAAAATCTTACGGACGATCGTTACGTTATTTACAAGCGAAAACGAGGCTAAACCCGCCTTTAGACACGCGTGGGTGGGTTGGGGTTTAGGGAGGGAGAGGGACGTCCCTTACATGCACGCGTCTCTCAGGAGACCGTCCGACCGACCGTCTCCTGGGATCACTTTTATTACAGAAACGTGTGTTAGGGTTGATATTTTTTTTACCAAAGATGTATTTAAAATAAATAAAATAAATTTTTATGCCTATCCAACGAGTAATTATTCACCCGTCCCTCTTTGGACTCAAACTGAGTGATTGACTACAAAGAAAAGAAAGATTTTTAATAATATTTATTACATTTTATAAACATTGAACTGGACTATGAACAACGCACAAGAAAACAGTAAGCTGCACTGAATTGAGACTGGTTGCTTCACATTTTGGTGTTTTTCTATGAGACTATCAGCTAAAGTCTAAAATCGTCTAGAAAATTTTCACATATCATGAAATATTTTAGACTCTAAATACGTCCAATGCTTCGGTATTTCTTACAAGTCTTGCTCTAGTTTAAAAACACCAGTAGTACACAGCCTGTTCAAATGAAATGCTTAATTTGAATCTGGCACTTTATTTTAAACCACTAATAATAGCCATGTGAACTGACAGACATTGAAAGCCTCAGAAACATCACTTTGTTCAAAAGTGGTTAGAAACAGAAACAGTAGTCATTTTGAACTAATTAATGACAAAGCATGGCAACATATGGCTATCCTAAGAGGCACTTCTTGGCTAATAAACAATTACAGACTATGACTGGAGCTGAGCCACTCTAAGCTCATCCACTAAAAACACAAAAAGAACAATCAAAGTCCCCTTCAGGTTCCTTGCTCCTACAAACAGATAAATAAGATAGTCGAAAACAGAAAATAACAGCACTTGCAGTCAAGAAGAGTCAAAAAATATTTATGAATGAACAATCATAACTGCCTTTTTTTTGTTCAGAAAGACATAACATAATAAGATAAAGTGGTAACAATTTCTATTATAATTACTAAGGAGAATTTAAAACACAAATTTACACTGACAGAAATAGTTATGGTAAAAGACTAAATTTTAACATATAGCAGTGCAAAGTCAAGAAGTAGACAAGTCAAACATTAGCAAATATCAACTTGTCAAAAATCAAAGTTCTGAGTACAGACAGCATATCCGCACATCAGCATAATGAAAGAGGTGAAAATGCAATAAAACAAAAGTGACAACAAACAACAGCAATTCCTCGACATACATTTTGCAGAGGCGGACGTAGCCTCAGCAAGCCCCAAAATACAGACGAAAGACTTTGGACTTCCTAGAGATACAACGTGCCTAGACGCTTGTGACCAGTGAGGCTGAGCTTGCTCCGATGGGGGTCCTGGGGAGTGGCAGGTGAAACCCCCCGAATCTCCCAGACGAGGTTGGTGAGAGACCTGGGAACAGACGACAGACAAAAAATTAGCGGTGCGTGAACTTGTGAGCTGCCAGCACTGCACTGTGAGCCAGAAGACCGATGGAGGCGGCCAAAACCATGAGCGTGTTTTCAGCTCCAGAGTCGCTAAATGGGACTCGAACCGAACGGGTGACCCCACCAATGGATTCCTCGTCCGGAGAGCAATCCACTGGTGGGGTCACACGTTCGGTTCGAGTCCCTTTTAGCGACTCTGGAGCTCAAAACGCGTCCGGGATTTTGGCCGCCTCCACCGGTCTTCTGGCCCACTGTGCACTGTCCATTGTTTTTGGGTGCGCACCTCGGCCGAGACAGCTTCCTCGACCGCTTCTCCGGCAGCTTGTTGCCGGGGCCGGAGTCCCCCGACGTCCTGCCGCCGGAGTGCGACGAGTCCAGGGTGCCGACGCCCCCGGACGCCCCGGACAGCGCCGCCGCGCCGGAGCTGGCCACTGGCGGCGGGGTGGGCGTCGACGGGGCCGGCGCGAGGCCCGCGTCCAGCTCCATGGCGCCGTGGATGTTGGTCATGGACTTGTAGCGCGCCGAGTGCCCCAGCGGGCCCGGGCTGGCCACCACGCCGTTGCCGTTGGCGGGGAGGTGCTTGAGGTACAGCCGCGTGCCCTTGTTCTCCTTGTGCCGCGACCGCTTCTCCGCCTTCTGCGCTGGCTGCGCCGCCGGCGCGTGCTGGTGGTGATGGTGGTGGTGGTGGTGGTGGTGCGGGTGGTCGCGGAGCAGCAGGTGGCCGTTGACGAGGCCGCCGTTCAGGGCGTGCCCGTGCACCTTGCTGCCGGCCTGCAATCAGACACTCGCGTCAGGAAGGCCGCCGCTGGCACACAGTGGGCCAGAAGACCGCGTTTTGAGCTTCAGAGTCGCTAAATGGGGCCAATTGATTCCTCTTTCGGAGAGCAAACCATTGGTGGGGTCACACGTTCGGCCTGAGTCCCATTCAGCGACTTTGCAGCTCAAAACGCGTCTATGTGTTTGTCCGCCGGCGCACTGTGTGGTGTCGAAAGGGCTGCCACCCGCAGCCTGCCCACTGGCCAACTTTAGCCAAGAGCTCACCTTCTTGGTGGGGATGGTCTCGATGGGGGGCGGCTCGGGCTTGGTGGGCGTGTGCGTCCCGGACGACGCCGCGCCGGGCGGCGTGGCCCTGGGTGCCCCGGGCGAGGACGTGGAGGGCGGCGGGCTGGTGGGTGACGGCGGCGAGGTGCTCCGTGCGGCCGCGGCGATGCTCTTGGGCAGCGGCGCGAAGCCGCGCACGTAGTCGTAGATCTGGTCGATCTCGTCGTACTCGTCGGGCGTCACGGCGGCGGGCGACGACAGCCTAGGCGACGACGACGCGGCGGCCAGGGTGGTGCCCGGCGCGCGGTTCTCGTCCTGGTGGTGCCGGGGCGACGACAGCAGGTTGGCCGCGTCGCTGCTCGCAGACCGCCGGAGGAACGGCACGCCGCGCCACGTCCTGGCGGCGGACTCCGCGCCCGCGCCGCCCGCGCCGCCCGTCGGCGCCGTCGCCAGCGAGGCCTTGGCGTCCAGCACGTGGATGCGGTCCTGCACCTCGGCCAGCAGCCGCGTGCACTTCTCGGCCACGCGCGCGAACTCGGGCAGCGAGCACAGCGCGTCCTCGTTGCGCGTGCGCAGCACCTTGAGCGGCGCCGACAGCGGCACGGCCACCAGGCTGGCGTTGTCCTTCTGCAGCGGGAACGCGAACACCTGCAACAGCGACGACCGGTTAGCGCGGCCCAGCGCGGCTCAGCGCGGGGTATCGGCAGGTGCCCGGGGCGGAGATACTCCTCGGCGACGGGTACCGCGTGCGGGGTATCGCCGCGCGGGTACCGGTATCCACAGCGGGCCAGACGACCAGTCGAGGCGGCTAAAATCTCGGACGCGTTTTGAGCTCCAGAGTCGCTAAATGGGACTCGAACCAAACGTGTGACCCCACCAATGGATTGCTCTCCGAACGAGGAATCCATTGGTGGGGTCACACGTTCGATTCGAGTCCCATTTAGCGACTCTGGAGCTCAAAACGCGTCTAGAGTTTTGGCCGCCTCCACCGGTCTTCTGGCAAATCCACTGTGAGGCTGGGGGCCTACCTGCTCCTCCTCGTACGCGGCCAGCAGCCGCAGGGGCAGGTCGGGCGCCAGGTGCCCGGGGGCTTGGGGGTTGGCCCAGCTGGCCTTGCGGGGGCGGGTGAGCGGGCGGGCGGGCCGCGGCGGCGGTCCGTGCAGCAGCCGCACGGTGAGGGGCAGCCGCTTGGCCAGCAGTGTGCGCGCCGAGTGCGCCCCGGAGATGTTGTGCTCCTTGGCCAGCGGCGAGAAGCGGCCGCGCTGCTCCAGCGACAGCAGGACCGTGTCGCCGCGGCTCGTCGCGCACGTCAGGTAGCGGCCGCGGGGGTGGTTGGCGCCGCCGGGCAGCGAGACCTGCAGCACGCGAAGCAAGGCACGCGCGAGGTTCAAACACCGCCCAACTTTTTAATTTGCCAGACGCCGCACAGTGGGCCAGAGGACCGGCGCGGATGGCCAAAATTCTGGACGCCTTTTGAGCTCCAGAGTCGCTAAATTGGACTCGAACCGAACGTGCGACCCCACCAACGGATTGCTCTCCGCACGAGGAATCCATTGGTGGGGTCACACGTTCGGTCGGAGGCCTGTTCAGCGACTCTGGAGCTGAAAATGCGTCTAGAGTTTTGGCCGCCTGCACCGGTCTTCTGGCCCACTGTGCAACCCTTACCTCCTCTCCCGGGGAGATGGTCTCGCCGACGGCGAGGGTGCGCGAGGTCTCGGCGGCCTCCACGACGCCTGTCGGCGCCTCGGGCGGGTCGGACGTGGGCACGACGGCGGCCTGCTGGTCCTTGGCCAGGATGGCGCGCAGCGGCTCCCGCACCAGGCAGGGGCAGGGCCGGCGGCTCAGCTCCGCCACGGACTCAACGCAGCGGCCGGCGCGGCCCTCCTCGCTCAGCAGCTCGAACCAGCCGGCGTAGGTCTCGGGGATGGACAGCCGGGGACCCACCGCCACGGGGCCGCGGCCGGGGCGCAGCTTGACGGCCTGCGGGGAAGGAAGCAGGTTAGGAGAACGGAACGACGCAAGACTAAACGCCGCACAGTGGGCCAGAAGGCCGGTGGAGGCGGCCGACACTCTAGACGCGTTTGGAGCTCCAGAGTCGCTAAATGGGACTCGAACCGAACGTGTGACCCCACCAATGGATTGCTCGTTCGAAGAGCAGTCCATTGGTGGGGTCACACGTTCGGTTCGAGTCCCATTTAGCGACTCTGGAGCTCAAAACGCGTCTAGGGTTTCGGCCGCCTCCACCGGTCTTCTGGCGACGCCGCGACGCCGCGACGCCGCGTCACCGACCTGCGCGATGATCTGCCTCCGGCGGCCGGCGGACACCAGCATGACGGTGGGCTGCAGGGTGGGGTGCGGCAGCGAGGGCACGCCGAGGCCGCCGCAGGAGCCGCGCACGATGCGCAGCACGGCGGGCAGCGCCAGCCCGCCCTTCACCACCTCGGCCAGCGGCCGGCCGCCCGGGGCCCAGCGCGCCGCGCCGCATAGCACCTGCCCGTCAGACGCAGCCATGCCGGGCCGGCATCTGCAACAGGAACAACAGGTTGGCAATGAAACCGGGCGCCCCAGCTTGCGTCATCGACACTTAGCCTGACCTAACCTAACATGGGTAAACCGAGAGGGTGGCCCCACCAATGGATTCCTCGTTCGGAGAGCAATCCATTGGTGGGGTCACACGTTTGGTCCGAGTCCGATTTAGCGACTCTGGAGCTCAAAACGCGTCTGGAGTTTTGCCCGCCTCCACCTGTCTTCTGGCCCACTGTGCCACGGGGCTCCTTGATCGCTCCATCCCTCTCGCACTCACGGAGTCACGGAGCGCCCCGTGGAGGCGCGAGAGAGACAGTGCGAATCTGCAGCGCCGCGCCATCCGAACCAATCCGAACCTCAACCATCAAATCGCAAGCACATGGAGCGGCGAGGCGGCCGGCCCGGCGAGCGAGCGAGCGAGCGAGAGAGAGAGAGAGAGAGAGAGAGAGAGAGAGAGAGAGAGAGAGAGAGAGAGAGGGGGGGGGGGGGAGGTGAGTGGCACGGCCGGCCGGTCGAGCGAGAGAGACAGAGCCAGAGCAGCCGAGGTGAGTGGCATGGCCGGCGCGCCGTGTAGGGCCGAGTTCAAGGCCGAGCGTGGCGGGGCGTGGTGTGCGTGCATCCCGAGCACCGCGGGGCGTGATGACGGCGACGCACGCGCGTGCGAGCAACGCCAAGCAACGCCAAGCAACGCTCCCAACACGCGCCGAAAAGGCAAACAAAGAAAGAGCCCAACGCGGCGTAATAACGAGAGAGAGAGAAAGAGAGAGAGAGAGAGAGAGAGAGAGAGAGAGAGAGAGAGAGAGAGAGAGGTAGAGAGAATGAGGCAGCGAGTTTCGGCTACCGTGTAATAATAATATTAGCCACCTCACTTGGCGCGTTGTTTCAGGACGCTAGCGTTATTTGTAAACAACAACAACAAAAAGAGGCATGGGCGCGCGGAGAGGGGCTTTTAATTAAGTTTCGATCACTGCTTCCAACCAGAGTACACCGCAAATCCCGTTAAAAAAAATGTTTTTTTTTAAAATCAGCAGGGGCAGGAAAACCTGGCAGGGTGCCTATTGACTTTCAATGCGGTTTAATTGACTCTAGGACAACTCAACAAGCAATAATTCACCCCTCCAAAAAATATCCCTGTGTGTGTGTGTGTGTGTGTGTGTGTGTGTGTGCGCGCGCGTGTGTGTGAGTGTGTGTGTGTGTGTGTGTGTGTGTGTGTGTGTGTGTGTGTGCGTGCGGCCTTCCCGTGGACGTGGAGGCGGTCCTCGGCTCGGCGGCTCCGCGGCCAAACGGTACCTCTGCTTCCCATGGGTGCAAGTGGCTTCCTGCCGGGAAAAGTATAAATTATGTATGGAATCGGTAGCTTTTTCCCCGGTCGAGCCGAGCCGGGCCGAGCAACGACCGGGCTGGGAGAGGAGAGGGCCCTGCCTGGCCCTGCCTGGCACCGTGGGGCAGAAGACCGGCGGAGGCGGCCAAAACTCTAGACGCGTTTTGAGCTCCAGAGTCGCTAAACAGGACTCGGACCGAACGTGTGACCCCACCAATGGATTGCTCTCCGAACGAAGAATCCATTGGTGGGGTCACACGTTCGGTTCGAGGCCTGTTTAGCGACTTTGGAGCCCAAAAGACGTCTAGAGTTTTGGCCGCCTCCACCGGTCTTCTGGCCCACTGTGCCAGGCCCTGCCTGCACGCCCCGCAGTGGGGCCAACCGTCGCTCGTCGTCCGGGCAGGCAGGGCCTGGCAGGGCTACCAACTGTGCTCGTTGTTCGCTTGCTATCAGATGGAGCACATTCTGTGAAAAAGAGCCACGGGGTGGAAAACGAAGTTGGGAGACTCACCCCGACCCTCGGCAGCGAGGCACGTGGGACACTTCGAAATCCGCGACCCACAGTGGGCCAGAAGACCGACCGGTCTTCTGGCAAATCCACTGTACGCTGCCTTTCCCTTCGCCCCGAGAGGAAGACGAAGAAGGAACAGTGCAGGCGCGCCGTCCGGTAAAGACGTCTCGATATAATTGCTCCCCGTTAGCGCTGCCTGGCGCTGCCTTGCCTTCGACGACGCCGCCTTCGGAGTTTTATGGACTACCTCCCCCTCGTGGCGAAGTGAGAGGGACTGCGGCACATGAAGGAAACGCTAATTTGGACAACAAAGACCATCGGTTGGTTGGCCGGTGTGGAGGCTTGCCCGGAGGACTGCCCGGAGGACTGCCCAGAGGACTGCCCAGAGGACTGCCCGGAGGACTGCCCGGAGGACTGCCCGGAGGACTGCCCGGAGGACTGACTGCCCGGAGGACTGACTGCCCGGAGGACTGACTGCCCGGAGGACTGACTGCCCGGAGGACTGACTGCCCGGAGGACTGACTGCCCGGAGGACTGCCCGGAGGACTGACTGCCCGGAGGACTGACTGCCCGGAGGACTGACTGCCCGGGGGACTGACTGCCCGGAGGACTGACTGCCCGGAGGACTGACTGCCCGGAGGACTGAATGCCCGGAGGACTGACTGCCCGGAGGACTGACTGCCCGGGGACTGACTGCCCGGACGACTGACTGCCCGGACGACTGACTGCCCGGAGGACTGACTGCCCGGACGACTGACTGCCCGGACGACTGACTGCCCGGACGACTGACTGCCCGGAGGACTGACTGCCCGGAGGACTGACTGCCCGGAGGACTGACTGCCCGGAGGACTGACTGCCCGGAGGACTGACTGCCCGGAGGACTGACTGCCCGGAGGACTGACTGCCCGGAGGACTGACTGCCCGGAGGACTGACTGCCCGGAGGACTGACTGCCCGGAGGACTGACTGCCCGGAGGACTGACTGCCCGGAGGACTGACTGCCCGGGGGACTGACTGCCCGGAGGACTGACTGCCCGGAGGACTGACTGCCCGGAGGACTGACTGCCCGGAGGACTGGTTGCCCGGAGGACTAGTTGCCCGGAGGACTGAATGCCCGGGGGACTGACTGCCCGGAGGACTGACTGCCCGGAGGACTGACTGCCCGGAGGACTGACTGCCCGGAGGACTGACTGCCCGGAGGACTGACTGCCCGGAGGACTGACTGCCCGGAGGACTGAATGCCCGGGGGACTGACTGCCCGGACGACTGACTGCCCGGACGACTGACTGCCCGGACGACTGACTGCCCGGAGGACTGACTGCCCGGAGGACTGGAGGGAGGTCCTCCAGGCGCGGTGCCGGGTGCCACCGAGTGGACAGGCTTGCATAATTGCAAGTAACTCCGAATAACGACGCCATTCACGACGATGCACAAACACTCCGTGATGCTTGTTGTTGTTGTTGTTGCTGCTGTTGTTGGCGCCGCTCCATTATGGCCAAGTTCAAGGCCCCGGAGAACGAGGCGTATCCTGCCGCAAGTAACCTAACCCCAGCTAACTTCAGCTCTAACACAACTTCAGCGAACCTAACCTCAGCTCTAACATAACCCCAGCTAACCTCGCCTCTGCCATGACCAAGAACCAGACTCGAAACTTGCGAAGAAGTGACTCCCTGACTCAGACGGCACACAGTGCGGGCCAGAAGATCGGTGGAGGCGGCTGAAAATCTCGACGCGTTTTAAGCTCCAGAGTCGCTAAACAGGACTCAAACCGAGCGTGTGACCCCACCAATGGATTCCTCGTTCGGAGAGCGGTCCATTGGTGGGGCCACACGTTCGGCTCGAGTCCCATTTAGCGACTCTGGAGCTCAAAACGCGTCCGGGATTTCGGCCGCCTCCACCGGTCTTCTGGCCCACTGTGCGTACGGCGGTGCGAGGCGGTGCCTGGAGGCTGGATTGTTGGCGCGTGAGTCACTGGCGTGCGACACGTTCGGTGTGGGTGAGCTGCGTCTCCTTGGTGCTTGCCACTGCTTGCCACTGCTTGGCGGTGCATCCAGCCGCCTCCAGCACTTCCTCCAGCAAGGGACTGGCCTACCTATCCGCAAGGTGAGGCGTCACTCCACCGCAACCAGGGTCAACGTCGCCGTCTTTTCTTTTGCAGGAAATGTAATCAACAATTAAAAATGGTGGGCTATAAAACTCGACAGAGAAAAAAAAGCTTGGGAGGTGTGTGCACACAAGTGGTTTGGAAAATCGCGAAATCCTGGGGGGTTCACCCTTTTGCCGGGAGTAGGAAAACTCGCGACAGTCGCCCTTGCGATTAGGTACATCGCACGACGACAGTTAAGCGGGCACGGGCTCGGCGGGGCGTGGCGGGGCGGGGTGGGGCGTGGCGGGGCGTGGCGGGGCGTGGCGTGGCGGGGCGTGGCGTGGTCGCGCTGACATTTGCATCGGAGGGACGGCGGCGTTAGGATTGGGGGTAAGGCTGACATTTGGCTTGCCTGCCGCTTCGGCGCCACTGTAGTCCGAGTCATTGAGTGCGGGTATTAATAAGCGGATAAAGACAGCAGTCTAGGCTACGCGAGGACTCCGCCAATGCCAGGCTTTATGTACCGAGACGGCGCGTCTAGTACGACTAGCGCGACACCCCAGACCACTCGCATCCGGGTGAGCACATGTTTATATACGCGCCGTAAAGGCTGCAAACAAAAACAACGCGAACCGTCAACCTTGTCGTCCGCACAACGGTACCGAGCTAGTCCACTGATAAAAAGTGAAGCGGCGACGTCACACGGGATCGAATGCAGCCGCGGCTCCTGAGTTGCACTGTTAAAAAAATTCTGAAAATTCAGACCAATTTTGTCAGACTTAGCGGTCTGAATCTGTAAATCAGACTTAATTCTGAAAAATCAGAGTTTTTGTCTTAGTTCTTAAACGCTTTGTCTGAAAGCTTGGTTCAGACTCGAAGTGTCTTAATATTTGTACTCATTCTCGAAATTCATATGAACTTGCGTCAGACTTCCCAGACCTCAAGAGTCTGAATTTCGGATTCAGACTACTTTCCGAAATATGTTCAAACATAAGAGAAAATTGGACAACTTTCTTCCAACCTAACATTGGGTTAACTCACAATCAGTCTTACATTCAATTTAATCCGACTCCGTTTCGGG